ATTGTGCGTGATCTTTTAGTTTTAAAAATAAAAATATACGAAATGTGTTTTTACTAGCGACAATTATGCGTGTTAGGATTCTATTTACTTTTTTAATAATTTAAGATAATAGAGAAATGTCATCATTGATAAAAACTACATTTGTTCTTGGTTTTCCACATCTAAGCTTTATTGTGCGACGACCAAGAAATTCCTCTGTATTAACATTTCAATCAGCATAATTTATCCAATCGAAGAAGACGAGTATATAAATAGAATTTCGTATAATTTTAATATTGAACGATATTCTAAGACCACTTAAAGTTTTTAGATTACGATAATGTGAGTGATAATAATATACTGAATATAGTTCTAAATATGATGTAGTATTTATATAGCTATTAGACGAATTCAATTTTTCAATTAAAAATTTACATTTATTAAAATGAAGATTGTTAAAAATTTTATTTTAATATCAAATAATATTAATTATATTCTATTTCATTTACCATTAGATGAATAGAAACAGCAGGCGTACTCTGTATTAATTAAATTTATATTTACAGATAAATACTGAAAGACACGTTTATATGGCAGCAAAAACTTGCCGCAAGTAAACTTAAAATGGTCTTACAGCACAGACTTTTAAATTGTTCTATAAAGGACTACAGAACAAAAGATGTACGTACAAACTATAGTCTATTAGGGGGTAAAAAAACAACTACTAAAATGCAAATAATAATAATTATTATTGTCTGACACTGGATTATTGTCGAGACAGCAGCTCAGGCGTCGAGCGCCTCACTATTGACTATAACGGTTAACATCGTGGCATGGGCTTGCTCGGCTACATCAGACTGCGGCTAATTTGTATCGGATAGACGATATCTGATGTTTAAAGACTTTTACGTGGAAATTACGATAAAAATGAATATTTCAAGTGCTTTACATCAATCACATTGTAAACCAACCACGCCGTATTATATAGACGTACGCCGTATATATACATAGGTACGCAGAGTAACGAATAATTATTGAATTTCATGTGCAATTTGTACCACAGCACGAGACTTACGCAAGCCCTGCCACTGTCGCACAAACACATAGTAAACTAGAGACAGACCCGCATAGAACAGGACTACAGGGCCGAGGTAGGGACAAACCACACGGGAAACGGAAGGGGGTACCAAAATAAAAGTAAAATAAAAAAGGGATATTTGGATGTTTATTTACAACGCTCTCTCGTTATTACTATGCGATTATAGAAGACAAAACTAAAGCAACATCAGTGCTACAGTGCTACATCCCCTGATCACCCACAAATCGAATTTACAATTATGTTAATATTTTCTCGTCTCGAGTAACACAAGCCCCTAATCTAAATGAAAGAAAAAAAAAACAGAATACCCATTACAGTTAACTCTCGTCTTGTACCGACTGGTACATAATAATTAAAACGTTACATGAAATTATAAAATAAAAATAACGCAACTGAATGCAAAACACAGATCTCCGCGTTATACAACCAGCTCCAGTACAATCAATCACAGAGGAAATTAATTACGGACTACAATGAATAATCGACATTAAACCAAAATCCACATAGCTAGCGCTTTATGCAACATTTTGTACATTAAATCGATTAATACAATACAATATACATATTATTGTCACAAATGTAACGTGGAACACATCCGCAAAGTAGCAAAGTCATCGGTGCAACTAAATATACAGACAATTTTATTTTATACATCGATTAAATTATTTTCCTTCATACGTCGATTAAATTACACGAGCGTTAAATGTATTGCATCGTCCCAAACAAAAATTACATTATTTTGTAATAAGCGTTACAGTGAGTTAACAATCACAGTCGCACCGAGTTAACAGTACACACGCAGTGACCATACGAATAACGTAACGGATAAATCTACAAATAAAATTATAATTAAATAATAACATTCTATTTGAATCAAAATGAAAATTCCCCAATCCAAGCAAATGATATATTTCTAGGCGCAATAAATGCAGAATGCAAATACGCAATTGCAAATATAAGCCATTTCTAAGAGATCAGCAATTACAGCCTCACTAAAGGGGCGATCTCGATCATTATCCATCGCGTTATGAAATTAGATGTGTTTTTTATTATTTTATTCGCAAAATATAACAGCTGAAAAATTATACTGGATGACTTTTTTCACCGTTAATTCGTACCGTCTAATTGAGTACGTATTACATATTTTAATTTCGATAGTTTTTAATTGATTTATTTATTTAGTACAAATTTTGTTGTTATACTTTTAGTACCTAATTTATTTCAAATTAGTAGTATTTATTGATAGATCAATTTCATAATATGTCAATGAAAAATAAAAATTAAATTGTAAAATATCGAAGCCATAGGCTTCTATTCCGTTCACCTGTTACACCTATTTTTTTACAGACGATAGAAAAAAAAACATCCAGTATATTGTGTATGGCCGTATTACTGACAAGGTAGCAATAATTTCTTTCCATAACAAAGTGGTTTTCACGTTTAATATAACGGATGAATTATTGGTGTCAAATAGAGTATTTATGTATGTAGTTTATGTAGTATCACAATAAATTGTCTTTAATCCCAATATTTTACTAACATGTAAAAAACACACCTGTAATTCCAAGTGAAAAGTATTGTAATGAAGAGGCTAAAATAAGAATAAGGCATAGAACAGATGAAAGAAAAATGTGAAATAAAGTTTAAAAATAATGCATAAATAATAACTACTAGAATAAAATATACAAACTGCATTTAAAATGATAGTGTATAGTAGAATCTTAAATTCTACGATATATAACCATTTTAGTTCCTCTTCGCCTGATTGATACAATGCTCGATGGATTTATTTAAAATAATCAAATTACAACCATTCGAATTAATGAACTAAATATAAATTTATTGTCAGGCAGCAAAGCTAATATATTATGAACTAAGTTTAAAAATTAAAATAATAAAGTCTTGTCATTAAAAAAGAAAATGAAACAGTTTGGTAGGAAATACATATTACATAAAGTAAATGAATCATATCTGTTTTAGTGATTACACCAATAATTAATTAAATTAAACTCCTTACATAACTATCAATTAAAACTAATAAGCAAAGTCCAACCACTACTGCATGATGCAATATTTTGGACATTTATAGGAGAACTTTTAAAAACACTTAAGGGCTGAACACTTATCTATTATACTTCTATGTACAGGGTTTTGGTCGCGAGGACTTTTGGTAATCGATCGCCTTAATAAAATAAATTCACAGCAGGACTAAGTGAAGCTTACAAGACTTATAACACAAACGTGTGGGGTCTGCATACAGGCATAATGTATTTAACTTGAAACTAAATTACCCAGTCGGTAAATCGACGTGTTTAAATACAACAAAATATTAGTTTTGTTAGCTTCATATCACTAGACACCTAATTAGGCGTAGCTAAATCTATAGGGAATAAATAACATTCTCTCCCTAGTTATCGCCGTTTCATATCTAAGATTGTAATGTTGATTATACATTTGCTACAGACAACACTTAAACTTCCCTAGTAGTTTTTAGCTAGCCCCAAAAAATTAAAAATAAAGTGCCATAATTAAAATAATCGAACCATTATTAGCATTTTTTAAATCTTTCTCTAAATAACATGAATATACATGCATATATTATTATACTCGAAAACTTCCTATGACTGTGCTAAAACTTTTAAGACATATATTTTTTTATCGTTTCGTTTATTGTTTTATTTACGCCTATACGAGTAGTCCATCACCGCGCCCTACAAATATTACACCTATATAATAAAAACCTCATTAATAATATGATATAGTTATTAAACACAGCATTTTTGTTTGTTTGTATGTTTAAACAGTTTAACACTAGGTGATATGGAACGTAACAATAAAAGAAAACTCATCTACAAATCTCATACTAAATAACTACACTCTAAATACGAGTTAAAATCAAAGTTGTAATTGACAAATGACGGTCACATAAAACTTTAAAATACCTAAAATATACTGCGTTACGCAACGCACAGTGACACGCCGTACCGTAAGTATTGGTACGGTCGTGTTAAAATTACAAACATCCCGTTAAAGGATTTGGTACAAACACTACCATCTACGATAAAACATTAGTAAATGCAACCCACTCACTTCAAACGCCAACATTATAATTAAACATTAATTTACATTTACAAATTAATTTACATACAGTTAAATGATTTGTCTAACACCTATCGCACTATAAGAAACAAAATGAATTTAAAAAGATAATTACAATAGCAGTACTTACTGCTGCATTAGAATACACAAAATATTTTCACACACTCACGCCTACCTTATGTAAGCTTTCATAATTTGTACAAGAAACAATAGAATAATACAAAAAGTAAAATATTACAGTCATCGTTATCAAGAAATTGGCATAAGGAACTTTACCTAACATCACGACACACTAGTCAGAGTTTTGAATTAAAAATTGCAGTGTGATAGAATCGTTCGTTTTAGTTCCTTTAAGAAAATAATTTACTCGACTTCCCTTATTGACCAAGGAGAGTGCAAATTATATCCAACCATATAGTCTGCCGTCTTGTTGGTGGATAAGGGTAGCGAGTGATTTCTATACGAATCTTAAGAATTTTACATCACTGTCTTCACACTATACGACAACGTTGTTCCTGCAAAATGTGCGTCGCTTAGAGTCGTTATCAGATTTATCACATGAAAACTTGTCCAACTCAAACATCATATCGGCTATCTTCTGATAAAGTTTCTTTGCGAGTATGTTATCCAATTGTTGAGTCTTCATCGTGTTCTTAAATTAGATGTTGATATTTTCCCAGTTAGAGATGGCAATGGCAAGTTAAAGCTGGGCACTATCAACTGCCATTGTAAAAGTTCGGGTGCCATGGCAACGTGGCAGAATGACGTGGAACACAAGAGTGGGTGGTGGGAGTGTTCAGCGTGGCGCGGCTGGTGTTGCGGCTCAGTCGTACCACAGGTGCTGCTGGTGCTGCTGGTGCGGCGCGGAGTGCGCGGCGTGCGCGTGCGCATGCGCGGCGTGTGCGGCGTGCGCGGCGTGCGGCGGCACCAGGTACGTGGGCGAGTACGGCTGCAGGTAGCCCGGCAGCCGCGCGCCGCTGCCGTGGTGCGCCGGCGGCGGCCCAGCCACGCCCGCCACACCCGCCACGCCGCCCCTGCGCACAGTATCACGCACGTTAAATATATGCATATAAGCTTACCGAAAATCACGGACTTGGCATCCAGGTGCAAGTTAAAACATCCAGTTGCAAGTTTAAAAAAAAACACCGATTTCTGAAAACAAGTCCGATCTTCAGCCAGCATCCTGGCAATTAAACTATATTCATTGTGGCTATATAATTTTATGGTTGTAGCACAAATAGGTGAACTCAACTGGAGTAGAACAACACTCTCACAGAGTACAAGCACAACAAAAACAGCAGCTTAAGCTTTTGTGTTTTTTCGTATGGTGAGTATACAGAACCGAAAACCCTTTTCACTGGAAACTAGGCGTTCCATCTTACTCCCCAGGGATAACAACACATCTGTATTTTGATTTTTATTTGAGGATAAATGTAGATATCTATGGGCCACACCATTAAATGGACTACAACTATTATCCATTACAATCATTCACAACTCCACTGCTGAACATAGACTTGTTGCAGAAAATATCACATATTCTGAATGTCTCACCAGGTTATCGCTTCATCTAGTAAAAACCACTACTACACTTTCTTTACCAGTATTAGGCTGTCATTTAGGAACCACCAAATTTAACGTCATAAACTTGGCTGAATGAAGTGAAGCCAATATCTAGTAATCTATATATATATATATATATATATATATAAATATATATATATAAAAAATAACATATATAAGCTATATGTATATAAACGTATATCCATATCTATTATATATAGAATACACCATATATCATAACAAAATACGCAACATATAATGTATAAAATATATAGAAGTTTTTTTCGATATAGTCGTGATATATATAGTAAGTATGCATAGACACCTCAGAGAGATATGAGAGGAAGACCTCATGGGGGGGGTCGCCATTCTCTGGAGGAAGGGTATTTTTGAGTCAGTTTCTGTTGTAAACTGTAGTAGCTCTCGATTAGTGGGCATTACAGCCACGACTGGGGGTCGCAATATTATTGTCTTTTCTGTTTATATGCCTACGGACTGTGACATCCGTGGCCGACAATCTACCAATTTTTACAGATATATTGAGTGAGATCAATGCTATCATAGCGAGTAGGGATATAGAAAATGTTTTTATGCTTGGGGATTTTAATGCGCACCCTCATGAACTATTTTTTAATGAACTGAATAACTTTTGTTCTGATCAGTCGTGGGTTTGTGCGGATATAGAAGCTTTGGGAGTGGACGGTGATACCTACACCTTCATAAGTGACGCTCACGGAAGTAGGAGGTGGCTAGATCACTGTTTAGTATCCAAATCAGCCTGGAATGCAATTAAGAGTGTAGGTGTCTCCGAAGATGTTTACACTTCTGATCACTTACCAATATATTTAGAATGTAACTTAGAGGTGGTCAGGCCTAAACGGACAGTTAAAATTCATGATAAAAACCTGGTCTTATGGGGTGATGGAACAAATGTAGAAACGCAATGTTACCAAAACATTTGTAATAGCAAATTGCGGGACATTGACTTTCCTCATGAGTTTACAACTTGTGCAAATGGCTTCTGTGGCTTGGCCGAACATAGGGTCGTATTAGATAATTTGTATGAACAGATTGTTAGTATATTATCTGAGGCGGCTAAGTAATCCAGAGTGACTTGTAAGGGGGGACCAAGGCGGGGTAAGCGCGTATATGGGTGGAACAGCTATGTAAAAGACGCTCACTATGAGGCCAGATGTAGTTTTAAGGCCTGGGTACTCAGTGGTCGTCCCTTATCTGGTCCTATTTATGATGAAATGAGTAAAAATCGAAAAATTTTTAAGAGTAAACTCAAATATTGTCAGAAAAATGCTGAGCAAATCAAAATGGATAGATTAGCTCAACAAAGAGCAAATAGGGACTTTAAAAATTTCTGGAAGTCGACCAGTAAGTTGGACACTAAGCCTAGTCTTGCTACGAGCGTGGAAGGAATTAGTGAACCCAGTGACATCGCTAATATGTTCATGGAACATTTTAAAGTACAATCTCCTCTTGGGCCCTCAACACAGGTGGGTAGTGCCGAGACCACTTGTGGGGGAGAGGAACCTCTTGTGCATATTTCTGCTAAACAGATACGCAGTATCATAAAAAGTATGAGCCGAGGTAAGTCTCCAGGACACGACGGGCTCAACATTGAACACCTGAAGCATGCTGGATCTCACCTGCCGCGAGTCCTGTCCATGTTTTACACAATGTGTATTAGTCACTCTTACTTACCAACAAATCTGATGAAGACAATAGTAGTTCCCATTGTGAAGAACAAGGCGGGAGACATCTCTAACAAGGGTAACTATCGTCCTATTTCCTTAGCGACTATTATAGCAAAGGTGTTGGACGGTGTGCTTGATACCATCTTAAGTGACCACATTCGACTGCAAGACACACAGTTCGGGTTTAGACCAGGACTATCAACTGAAAGTGCTATTTTAAGTCTGAAGCACAACGTTCGATATTACGTAGATCGTGGTACCCCGGTATATGCCTGTTTCCTTGATCTTTCCAGGGCATTTGATCTCGTCTCATATGACGTGCTCTGGAGGAAGGTAGAGGACAGGGGTGTACCGTCAAAGATATGTGGTCTGCTCAAATATTGGTACAGTAAACAAATAAATCATGTGAAATGGGACGATACTCTTAGTGAACCGTATAGGTTGGAATGCGGGGTAAGGCAGGGGGGGTCTAATGTCTCCCAGATTATTCAACCTATACATAGATGCTCTCATAGGCGAGCTCAGCAGCAAGCGTGTCGGATGCAGTGTTGGTGGGGTTAGTATTAACAACATCAGCTATGCTGATGACAATATCCTGCTGGGACCGTCGGTGAGGGCAGTAAGAGAGTTATTGAAGGTGTGTGAAGCATATGCTGAGTCGCATGGTTTGGCATATAATGTCAAAAAATGTGAGTACATTGTCTTTAGGGTCAGGGGCAAGCCTAGGACTGATGAACCTGACCTGTCTTGAATGGGTCAAAAATTAAAAAAGTGACGTCCTTTAAATATCTAGGTCATTTTCTTGCCGATGACCTGAAAGACAATGTAGATATTGAGAGGGAACGCAGGGCTCTAGCGGTCAGGAGTAACATGCTGGCCCGTAGATTTGCTCGATGTACGGACCTAGTTAAAATTACCCTATTTAACGCATACTGCCAGAGTCTGTACACGAGCAATCTATAGATGAATTACACTAAAAGGTCGCTAGATGCCCTGCGTGTTCAATATAATAATGCCTTCAGAATGTTGTTGGGACTGCCTCGATACTGTAGTGCGTCGGAGATGTTTGCGCAAGCTCGCACGGACGGCTTTCATGCGATAATTCGCAAGAAAACTGCTTCGCTGCTTAGAAGGGTGAGAGACAGTCACAACAGCATTTTGAAAACAGTAGCGAAATTCTCCGATTGAAAAAGTTTATCCATACTTTAATGTTTACTAACACTAGTTTATAAGTCAATTGTTACTAACACTACTATGGATTAATTTTGGTCCGAAATAAAGATTATTATTATTATTATTATTTTTCTATGCTTAGCCCACTTTTCAGCCTCCATATACCTTAAAAAAGTGTACACACCAAATTTCCCACTGAAATATAAATTTGTCTCAACTTCTATTTTTAGCAACAGCTATTATGTTCTGTGCATACGACGTGTTTGTGCAACCCAGCGAGTCGACAGCTTCCCACCTGATGATAATTGGTGATGTAACCCAAGATAGTTTAGACCATTTCTAACTTAGTTTTAAAAAAACCCTAAATAATAATAAATAATATTTAATACATAAAACAATAATTTAAATTTTACGCAGCACACTAGCCCTACAAAAACTACAAGCATTACATGGAAGATGTCACGAGTCCTAATCTACCTGAGTCTGATGTGATGACTCAATAACATTTTTAAGATATGACATGGATTGTTCAATACAGACTAAATATACATTCCTTAAAATAATTGAATAACAAATATTATAATACATATATATAATATTTGTTTATAAATTTCTTCTAAAAAAACATAAGAAAACAAAAACTCACGTGTGGTAATGATATGTGGGCACGTAAAGTGGCGGCGGAAGGTAACCGGGCGACACACCTCCTCCTGGTGATAGAACACCTCCACTAGCCGTTCTGAAAAACAATTATACCAATTTTGAAGCAAACTCAAACCAGCTGAACAAAATATACGAAAATACCCTGTGTTGAAGGCCATACGAGCCAAGTTTAATTAAACTGTCAAAACTGAACACCAACTACACTAAAACTCAATCATGCACTGCTGAATATAGGCTTTCCCCGTTGATTGCCCTATAGAAGAGACATTTACCATAGTATCCACACTAGACATTCGGACTGGTAACCAAACTTTTATATTATTTTGAGTCGTTATCAGGAAGATGCTGCTCCCCATTGTCGATTTCATTTCCCTATGTCACCGGCTTACAACGCCCACTGTGTTATTGGAATTTCTTACGACGACGTTACACAGCAAAAAATCAGTTAAACTATTGTTAGCACTTCACTGAGAGAAGCTTTACGTTAGTTCTTCTATGGGTTATCATCATCATTACAGCCTATCAAAAACCACTGCTGAACATAAGCCTCAACAACCATAGATTCATTCATAGAGCAAACACTGTTTTTTCATTATTTTGAATTGCTATCCGGATGATGCTGCCCAAACTCCATTTCAATTTCCTTGTGCCGCTTTTTACAACTACGTGATTATTTATGGGATAGTGAATTCTCTTCTACCGTCAATACATTTTACAGCTATCTCGAAAAGCCATAGACCAAAATATTATGCAAAGTGATCAGAGCATCCGGCGATCTGAAGAAAACATTGTTAGAAAACCAGCATAAGTGAGGACTGAAAATATCTCGAAGACATGTAAGGCCCCCACCACGCACAACCTTGTCAGAAATGAGAGGTGTCCAGCAGTGGGACGTATATAAGGTGTAACTTTACTTTTTAAGCTTGTATTTAGAACGCCTGTTGGAGACAGGAGGATGGAGGTCTTCATTATATCAAGTATTTATCGTTAATGCTGTGCTTGGCAAATGATTGACTAAGGCAGTACGAAATTGCACTATTAAACTACCAATAGTTCAGAATCAATCTTAAACAGTGCACAATTGGACTTGGCCTCGTTGGATCCTTGGATAGGATTTGTCATATTACGCAAACGAATTGATGATCGCAACACCAGAAGTCTTGCAGCATGACTCTACTCCCAGTCTGCTAGTTGAAAATACAAAAAAGGATCTCAATTCGAATGTTCTCTTTTTGTATGTATGTCATTCAATATCGTCCTCAATTGTTGACCGATTTTAATGACTCTTATTTTATCAAATATAAATTTGATAAAAAAATTGTTTTTCATATATATTTGGAGAAAAATTCCAGCCTTAAGGGTAGAAAAATAGGGTTTTTTTTTAAATGGATATAGAGGAAAATACAGTATTTGATATTCCTAAATCCACTCAAAATGGTCCAAAATTAGATTTTTAATATAAAAAATAAAAGCAGAAATTCTTCAGACTTCAGAAATCGGGACTTTAATATTTCTATACACTATGTTTTGGCACCGACTTCTGAAGCTAAAAAATAAGACTAAATTACTCCTTATAACATCAGTTATCTGCCAGTTAGCCTTCTATTGGCGAAAAAATTAAAATCGCTCTAGTAGTTTTGGAGCTTATTAGGTACAAACAAAGAAGCAAAAAAATCTCTCTTCTTCATAAGTAAGGTTTTTTGTTCTTTTTAATTTTGAATATTTTATTTTTATTATAAATATTATTATATTATTTGTAAAAAGATAATATCTACAAAACATAAATTTATTAGTTCAGAACTTCCCTGTAAACTATATTTGATGTTGTTTTATCTTGTGGCAGCAAAATATCCTCGATATACGAGGTAGTTGACCAGCTGATAGGCCGGTGATAATCGTCGCTACAGTTAAATTTTCCTTCAATTCATTAATAATTGGCCTCATCCCATTGCACATGCTCGGGGGCTTTGCATATTTTACCATGAAAAAGTAGTTATTGTGACATAACTGTAATAGTTAGATATATGGTATTGCGGACTTTTTTTGTAGATATTTTTTATATAAATAACTGCACAGGATTCCCAGGATTCGATTAGATCAACCACTAGATCGATGAGGCAGTTATTATTTTATATATTTCAGGAACAATGAATGTACGTAAATGTGAACCTTTGAATTTGTTTTATTTTAGTGGATAAGCTCACAACGCAATACTACTTTTTATTGTGGTAGAGCCATGCTTCAGCTATATAATGGTTGTAGCACGAATGGGTCGGGTCGACTGCGAAAGGACCACGCTCTTACAGGATATTAGCGTCAAATAGCAGGAATAAGCTGCTGTGTTTTGTTTGGCGAGACTGTTTTAACTCGAAACGAGGCCTGCCATCTTAGTCCTCAGGGGTAATAACGCATCTACATTTAGATTCTTAATCGATGAGAAATGTAGATGTCTATGAGTCACAGTATGCACTCACCACCAAATGAATTGCGTGCTCGTTTGTCGCCCTTATATCATAAAAATACTAACTTGTAGTGTGCGTGCGGGTGGTGGTGCCAGGCGTGCGGCGCCGTGTGCTTGTGCGCCGCCGGCGGGCCGCCCACGCCAACCCCCACGCCCACTCCCACTCCCACACCCACTCCCACGGCCACTGCGTGCGCGCCGCTCACTGCGCTCATGGCGCCGCTAGTCGCCGGCAGGTATTCGCGACACCCTCCACTCTGCAAATTATTCAATCATACACAATAAGTCAAATGAAAATAAAAAGGCTAAAGTTTAAATTCTTAACGCAAGTTAGAATATTTTTGGTAAGGCCTTGGTAGTTCAGGAGATAAGCGCTCACCTTAATATTTTACAGTAACCAAAAAAAAAATTCATCTCCTCTTGGTCGAAATTTCTAAAGAACTAGTAGAATTGTAGAATCTAACGAAAAACATCTAACACAAATATTGCATATTTAAAAAATATATTATATATATATATATATATATATATATATATATATATATATATATATATATATATATATATATATATATATATTCTAAACTGTAACTAGGCGTCAGAGCTCTAGACGTTAAATAAAGTTATTTTATATCATTTTCTCACGGATGACGGATATTAATAAATTTGGAAAGTAAAGTTTCGCTCAATCCTACATCAATAAATTAAAAAAAATTTAATGTACCCACAATAAAATAATAGCATAATGCTGCTGTGGAGAGTAACAGTCTTTTTTTACTTGTAACAAGGCATTCTATCTGAGTGCTCAGGGGTGACATTTTAGCTCTTGATTGAGGCATAGCATCCACTAACAGGTAGGTTGTGTGTCCGTTGGTCACCCATAAACCCATAATCTATAAAAATATTATGGCAGGCAGCAGATTAAAGGTCATTGTCTTTATATGATGTATGAAGACAACAGGGCTTGATTACAACTGGTAGAGCGTACGCTATTCTATTCACACACATCAGCAGTCGGTGAAATTTGAATTGTGTTCTCGGATTGATTACCCGCCATTAGTCGGTAGCTAAAGCATTATTCTTATATTTTTTATTAACAAAACAAGAATAATGATACTCACACTATCCCGTTTACTGTGCTGCGCTTGCATGTATTGATTGCATTGGTAGTCATTCGTTTGACGGATGGTCGCACCACCCTGAAATACAATAAAAATATAATCACTATATAAATACAGCATGTAGAGCAGAGCCTTTATACATTCTTCTAAATATAAGAACTACATAGCAGCTTTTAGTTTACCGATAAACGAGCGAAATAAGTACTAACTTTCTTAATTTCATTGAGTGACAGTCTTAAAATGATATTTTTGGTTACAAAAGACACCATGCTAAATTTATATTTATGTTATTTTACGATCGAAATAATATTATAAAAATTAAGCTAAACTACAACGCGACGAAGATTTCTCTCCAGAAAGAAAATTACTCTACTTATTTTATAAAGATATCTTAAAACCTTAACTTTTTATGACTTCCGATAGTCATATAAACATCACACTTACGCCAGACATAAAATATTTAGACCAGACGGGCAATAGTAACGTCTAAGGTGCGAGTAGTTTGGTACGGTATTTGTTGCATCCACGTGCCAAACGTTCAGACTTCAGAGGTGAACTTTTATGGTCTAATGAAGATGAAGCCCTTAAAAACGACAACTGGAACCAGAAATTGAACCGTACATAATTTGCTGAAATAATGGAAACTACTAACGGAAACATAATGGGCCGGTTGCTGATCAGCCAGGGGCTCTTGTTTTGCTTGGGCCTCCTGTTGTGCCAGAGCCAAAAGTCGTTTCTTCTGGCTCTGCGGCGTCGCTTGCGGCTGCACCGGCGCGTGTGTGCGCATGCTTTGCTGTTGTTGCTGTTGCTGCTGCTGCTGTTGTTGCTGTGTTGCTGCTGTTGTTGCTGCTGTTGCTGCTGCTGCTGCTGCTGCTGCTGTTGTTGCTGTTGCTGCTGCTGCTGTTGTTGCTGATGCTGCTGCTGTTGTTGTTGTTGTTGTTGCACTTGCTGTTGTTGCTAAAAAGTTATATAACCAATTGTAAATATTTAACGGACTTTCAAACTTTATGGTTATTTTGAAATTTTTAGAAGCGTTTAAGATAAATTATTCAAGAAAATCTTCAACTGGTGCTTTATTAAAAAAAGTCGAGTTATCTGTCTAGTAGTAGATATCAAAGCGCTGGTGTTATATAATATATATAAGGACCTGTTTTTCCTCTATTAATAACTTCACGAAATGCACATATATATTATTTTAAGGCTCTTAAAGAAAGATTGTTAAAGTAACCTGGTGATGATGATGGCAGGACTGGTGAGGCTGGTGGGACTGGTGGGGCTGGTGAGACTGGTGGGGCTGGTGAGACTGGTGAGGTTCGTGCTTGACGTGGCGCTCGTCGCGCGGAGTGCGCGCGCTGCAGATGACGCCGCCGCTGTGCACCGTGGCCGTGCTGTTGTGGCTCACATTGCTGTTGCTCGTGTTATTGTTGTGGGCCGCTGTTGCCGCGCACTCGCCACTTCCTGCTAGATAAAGGAAAATAGTGTTGCGATAGCGTACAGACTACTAATTCATAAGTCCTTGTTAACCAATGCATAGTTCGACTATAGTCGCAAACATCTCTCAACATAAGCACTCAAGCGTAGGTTTCAAATTCAATTTCAATTTACGCCGCAACTCAATGTTATGTGCCATTGCGTCACGTAGCTGTCAAAATAGATCGCAAACGAGCATAAAAAAGTTGGAAAAAAGGGAAAATATATAAGATTTCTCCCCAGCAAGGTGTTCAACCGAGGAAACAACAACTCAACATAAAAGTATAGTGCTTATATTAACATATATATTGCGGAGTCGTAAGGTTTTAACTGTTGTTCAGTTCATATCATGGAGGTTAGAGAATAGGAGAACGATCGCTACGTACTAAAGCATAGCCCGCTTGTTCTTGAAAATTTGTAGAATTTATAGCGGCGCTGACGTAGGTGAGTAGTGGCTGCGAAGTTATCTGTTTATGAGTACAAGTAGAGGAAGTTAGTTGAATAATGTACAATTTTTCTTCGCGGCATTGGTGAGAAAATTTTCATGCTCTGTAATTTTTTTAATTTTTGACAATACAAAATGGGGAAATACAACCAAGTGCGTTTCAGCAATCAAGTGCGTAGATGTGCAAGTGGTTTAGCATCTGATCGGAAAAATAGACTGAAAATGACTTTTATTGAGCGAACTTAGCGATCGCAGCGCCTCACTTAAGGTGTCCATATTTCTGGGACACTATTTTCTACGGCGATCGTTCTCCTGTTCTCTAACCTCCATGGACCATATGGTAACTCAGATCAACAAAGAAAGATAGACTTAACACTATAAAATTTTTTACTACTATAAAATTTTACTTCTAATGAAATATTTTCATCCTGTATTATGTTACATCGAAAATAACAAATCTTAAACTTTGATCGTCAATCCACCTACCAAGTATCGCAATATGGTAAATTATCCCTATTATGTGAAAGATCAATGTCTTGGTGTGCACCGTGTACATGCTAAAGAAAAAAATATTTTGACACTATTACCTACGAATATTTTTAGAACAAAACTATTAAACAACGCTATTATATTGTTATTTTACGTCAACAAACATGACAAAATGAAATCACAGATTCTCGTTAGGCTGCTAACATAATAAACTAATAATATAATAAAATTGAAATTTTGAGAACCTAAATAAAACAAGCTGATGATATTCAAGCGGCTGAAACCGATTTTGATTAAACATGTCTAAGAACCACTAAATATATATATATATATATATATATATATATTAAAATCATATATCAATGGAAATTTTATTAAATAAGCTATCAGATTATGCATAACTTGAATACAGGTTTACTTCGAAAATTTATTCATAAATTTTTTGTTTACAAGGTCGAGAAAGGCCTCAATTAGCTCTACTCGACATCGGGACAAAAATAAGAAGGTTCACAAAAAAAAAACCACATTAAATCAAATTTAGACAAAATCAATCATGCAGATATATATATATATATATATATATATATATATATATATATGTTACAAATAGTTTGCTATCACTCGACTTGGTGTTTGACAGATGCGCATATTATTTGAGACGTCAGAATATGGCGTTTGGACAGACGAGGGGATGGATAATGCAAATTAAAATAGAAGTTCATGATTAATTTAAACCAGGCATCGTCAATACCCACAAAAGTTTTAAGAGATATAATATTATTCTTGTAATTTTCATGCTTACTAGACCATATTGCAGACCGAGACAATACTTCGCTAATAAACGTCTCCGTATTTGTGTTTTCCATCGCGGAAAAATCGACACCATTTGATTAATACGCAAGACACGCGAACACGTACTACGTCCTCCGCTGGTCGCGGTCGTCTGACGCGTACGCCAGACGCGTCAACGTGGCACCTCACGTTTGTCTCGTATTGTTATTTTGACGCAAGACGCGTCGCGCTAGCGTGACACACGACCAAGGGTGACGAGCACACAGTCCACCTGATGGGGTAAGTAGATGCTATGGCTCATAGACATCTACATTTATTCTCAATTAAGAATCAAAATGCAGACGCTCTGTCACCCCTGAGGACTGAGATGGAATGCCTCGTTTCCAGTAAGTACAGTCTCCGGTTCTCTACAAACAGCATACAAACACAGCAGCATGGAGGTGCTGTTTTAAGCTAATATTCTGTCAGTGTGTTATTAAACAAAATAGCTCACCTCTGTTGTTATGTGAATGTTGCTGATGTTGGTGGTGTTGCTGATGTTGCAGCTGCTGCTGGTGTGGGTGTTGTTGCTGATGTTGGCCCTGGCCTTGCTGAGCCGGGCGCGGTTGTCGCGACGTGTCGTCGTCATCGGAATCAGAGATGGTGATGACGGAGACGGCGGGAGATGGAGTATCGCGGATAGTGATGGTGTGACCGCCACAGTTACCATTACCCTCCCACGTACCACCGATTGTAACGTTTTGACCCCTAAAAACAAATTATTTGATTTAAAAACTAACGTTTAAAAAAAACTTTGATCGATATTTTGACTGTTTTTATATCGAAAAAACAAAATTATATTTAAGAAAAAACAAATAAATCGTTTAATTACTTCAAATTGCTCACTTTGCTCATTTGTAAATAATAAAAATATTTTCTTTAAATATTTTTTCCCTGGAATATTTTTGTTGAATTGAAGTGACCTCAAGACTAACTTTATATTTAAATTAAATACTAATAAAAGGTGATCATATTAAATCCAGGGATAGAACTCACATATGATCATGATGATGCCTATGCCTCGATGGAGGAGTGCCCTCTTTCACCCTCTTCTTGACCGGAGACAGCTGAGTAGGTTCCTTTTTGCCACCACTGCTTGCCATACTGCAATTGACATCAATTTTAAATATATAGAAATGAAAATATAAATATAAAATCAGGATAATCGAAATGAGGAAGCTCTTATGTTTCAGATACACTGCTAATATAACAATGTAGCATTGTGAAAAGTTTAAAAGCATAATAATATTGGTAATGGTATTAAAAAATTTGAACTCAATCGGCTAAGAATAACTGCTTTAAAATTCAGTTGCAAGATTTGGCCCCAATCTATATAATATAAGCGAAATACCACTGACTTACTGATTCATCCCCAGATCTCTAAAACTATACACCCGATTGACTTGAAATTTAGTATAGTTACTCATTTCTCAAAGGATTTTACGAGTCTCATAAAATTTTTTTTTCTCGATATTTTACATTTAGGTTCCGCAATAAAATATTGGGTATGTTCCGAAATAAATTGTGACCACTGTGAGGTGTGATATCAATTCACTATACTGTGAAGCCGTTCCTTTTTAGTTTGCTTTACTGGTTACTGTTTAAAACGGAACACAGTCCAGTATACTGTCAACCCCACTTTTCGACACTGTTTTCAAATGAAAATATTTCTCATCTCCAACGTTCGATTCAACAAGAAAAATTATTATTTGAATGTTGTTGTTTTAAAACTAAATGTCCGAAAATTATTTTATGGGCTTTCTGTACTTCGTATTTCGTTATAATCATTTTTCTGAAATATTGATTTTTACATTAAAATAAATAAATAAATGTTTAATTTGTTCTTGTTTTGTGATAATTATTCCATAAAATTAAATGTGTAAAAATAAATAGCGTCAAAAACCTTCCTAAAATAAATAACCCATAAATACAACATTCGAGCATCGTTTATGCGATATACCTCTTTGTTTTACCATTTCTGTTCAACATTTATTTATTCCAACCATATGTATGTATATATTTATATGGTGATAAAACACATCGAAAAAAATATGTCCCTAATTAGAGGCCACGCCCACCCTTCATTCAGGGCCCTGATTCAGGGTAGTGTAATAGGGGCATTATGGACGGAACGAATTTTTCAACAGTGAGAGCGCTGAGCAATGCTCACAGTATATAACGGAACATAACTATTATCGTGCGCCCTGCGAAGCGATCGGGCATCAGCTAGTAAACATACAAATATCGAACATTGAACAAAACAAGACAAAACAAGTTAAATAAAAACTTTCAAAAATCAGTCCATACCATCATAAAAGAATCGAAAATCTCATATATGTAATATATTGTCTCGTAAATGTTGCAATACAAATTGCTAAAAAGTAGATTTAAAGAAATTTGCCTTAGAGACCCGCGTTTGAAACTGCACTTGAAAGTAAAATGCAGCATTTTTTGTTAAGGCCGAATACGACGCGAATGACCTTGCTAGTTTCGCAGCAAACCACGCGCCGCCAGTACCTACGCTTTGTTTATATAGACATCTATAATACCTATAATCAAAGCGGTACGGGCTTTGATTATATTTGACTGAACTAGCTCAGATGCAGAGTAATGAACAACACAGAGAGCATTGCTTACTTCTTAAATAAATTTTTCTTATTTATAATATTAGTTCCAATAGATTATAAATTCTGTACTTTATTCGTTATAAAATATTGTTCGAAAAGTTATTGAATTGATAACGATTTTTTTTCTTAATTGGTGCATCGTACGTAAAGAATCTCATATAACTGAAAATGTTTGTTCTTGTGAGTCTTACAAGATGCCGTAATGCAAATTGCATAAATAATAAAGAAAAAAAACTAAAAAGTCGGTGATTGCCCTATAGTGGGGATAGGTACTGTGTATGTAAATTCTCACAAGACTACTTCGACTGGTCAATCACTTCACATCCGAAGTATTTCGGTTTTTCTTAATTATGTACTTTTACCCCATGCTTTCGGACAATACATTGACTGACATTATTTGCGGTCTCTGTGCTTGCACTACTCTGTACATTCTTTTCCGACTGGGTCTTGATATTTTACATTTTTAGTGTTTCTCACTTGAAACTAGATCAGTTTGGCTAATGTAAATGAGTAAAAATGCAACCTATTAGGCAGCCTCAAACAAAAAAATTACCTTACTAAATATAAGTATTAACCTCAAAATACAACATTCGAGCAGCGTTCATGCGATAAACTCTTTTTGTTTTACCACTTAGGTAACATTTATTTCTTTTCCTACCCATATTTACATTTATAGTCACTCAAACGCGTATAAGACAATAAATTAACGACTTTCGCTACAGACACATCGACTGTTGTTACCTTACGTCACACGTCGAAGCGCCTGGTAATTTATTACGGCAAACTTTTATCTGGCAATATACGATATTATTATTAGGTGTTTTTAATTAAAACGAATTATGTTAGTAAATAATATTTTGTATCGAAAATAAAGATAGCAGGTACCTTCGGAATTACAAAACAAACATCTTTACGTAAAAGAATTTTTCCTAAATTAAAATTCACAGAGTTTTGGAAGAACAATAATTTTATATATCATTTCTTAACATTCTTTTATTTGTTGGTATATTCATTTATTTTAAAATTTTAAAATTTTAAAATGACGGTGACATTGTGAAGGACCCGAACAAACCTACAAAAATGTTTTAAAGCTTAGAATTACTTCAGCTCAAAGTTCTAGTCAAGAGAAATACATTAATTTTCGCCAGTTCTCTTCATATTCGACCTTAATTATGAGAAGTTAACGTATTTCTACTTTCATGAGTTTATTTTAATTTATGATCTATTTATATTATGATCAGAAAAAAATGAAATAATTATTAAAAGAGGTTAGACATAATTTTCTACTAGTAAAGTAATTTTATACCATGCATGGGATACCAAAAAGCAAAGATAAAGGGCCCCAAGTGTATTTAAAAGAAGATTGTGCATTAGTAGAATAATATTTATCCAGGAAAAGTGTGTCAATTTAAATTATTTCATATATTAAATAAATTAATAATGTATGAAACATTTCAAGATTTCGAAGATCATGTGTATCCATACTTAGAGGAAAGATGAGACTTCATAGGAGAACATATCATTTAAATAAAGGAAGCATGTAATGTCAGGAAATATAAAAAGGTGATCAAAAAGGATCGAAAGGTTTTTTGTTATTGGATAATGTTTGCGATGTTTTGATTCATAAAAATTGTGTTGGGAACCTGTATTGATGCGTTTGGTGGTGCGGCTGGTAGTGTGGCACGGCGCTCGTCTGCTGCTTTGTTGATCTGTCGACAAGCAGCGCGATTTAATGGGTGCATTTGGCAGAAAAAAGCGCTAGCAAGCGCTTGTAAGCAAAATGGCGAAACTAAACAGTTTCGGCCAGGACACGTTTGTTAACTTCAATAGCGCTGACACAATCCGCCATTGTGCTTATTTAATTTGTTTGTTCTGAAGTAGAGTTTATAAGTTGTTTTGTGCAATATTAGTTTTAAGTAATATGACATGAATAGACATATACATGTTATTAAAAATTCATGATTGGTAAGTTTTTAATATGAATACTTTACAAACATATATTTAAATTAGGTTAGGATCCCCGGTTAAAACTAACTTCGTGTCCTAGAGGAAAATAGCTACTTACGATTTGACAGCGCTTACCGCTTACGATCGCCATTTTGCTTATAAGCGCTTGCTAGCGCTTTTTCTGCCAAACGCACCCAATGACTACTTTAATTTTCTCTATTATTACTACGTAATCTAATATACGTACGTAAGTAATAGATCGACTTTGATTTTCATAATTAAGGAGGTTTTGGTAAATTAACTCATAAATTTTAGACGAGCCAACAGGGGTCGAGCTTGGGGTTGCTAGATTTCTATGAAATTGTAGGCGAGAACTCAACTTGTAAACTAACAGAACGCATACTAATAGTGAAGTGTTATTGAATTCTATGTCTATTGAATATTTCTAATAAAAATAAAAAAGAGGAAACATCGACTAGATTTCTTGTATTTCGTGTAGTGCATCATTTTTTATTGTATAACATCTTATTTATTCCATAGATCTTATTTTCCAAATTTATATCTAAGTTAAACATAAATTATATATATTCATGATCTAGTTTTGGTATTGTAGGTAGGGGGTTGCTAGACTACCTATATTTTAGAGGACGTCCTCTGCCGTCCTATTTCAGACCCAAAAAATGATTTTGTCCTCTAATTTGTAGTCTTTAAAAGAGGACATTTCACATTTCACCTTCTGCTAGTTGAGGTCAAAGAATTTCAAAATCACCTTGAGGTGACGCGTGATGTTAGGGAGACAAACTATGTTATATTACGCACACACACACACACACACACACACACGCACGCACACGCACACGCACACGCGCGCGCACACCCACCCACACACACACACACACACACACACACATATATATATATATATATATAGATATATATAGTGATAAAACTCTGGTGGTCACCTCTTGTGAGGGTGATGATGGTGCGGGGGGTGCGGGTGGAAGTCCCAGACGTCAGGCTCGGGCAGCGGCGCGGGCTCCACGATGAGCGGCGCGCGCCACTCGGCCACGTCGCCCACGCCCACGCCCACGCCCACGCCGTGCTGGTGGTGCGCGGCCGCGGCCGCCGCCGCCGCCGCAGCCAGCTGTTGAACCTGTGCACACACAATCACAATACTCTTTTTTTGCTGTCCGTTTTCTGCAACTATGGACCTTTAGGGTTTCACTATGAAAATTTACTTCGGAATCAGTTTGATTCCGGTTATTCTATTAAAACTCGCGAATTCAAGATTTCTACGATTCCACAATTAGTAAATACATATACACTCACCGGCACGGAAACTTGGCCAAGCGGTTATCTCGCGATTAGCAAAAGCTTTAAGTGTTTCTGATGAATGTTTGTTATGCAAGTATGTCAAAAAATGTTTACCCTCAAGTTCAAGAGGGTAATTCATTATGTTTAAGTGCACCATGACGAATTCTTTAATTTTTAGTTGAATCGGGTCATTTGAGCGACTAAGTTCACATTTTAAATTTGTGTGTTGTGAAAAGTTTACTGTAAGGTTATTCAATTATTGTGATCTTGTGTCTTAATTAAATAACTAAAGGTGCTTTAAAGCCAATAAAAATGCCATTAACACCAGCACAAGTTGCACAAGCAGTAGCATTAATTGACCAAGGGCTGACACAGCGTGAAGTTGCTATTGTGCTTAACGTACCACGGTCATCAATGCAGTATTCACTGAAACGATACCAGGAGACAGGCCGCTACACCCGCAGGCCAGGCAGTGGGGGCGTAAGGTGCACATCGGCCCGGGACGATCGTTTTATTGTTATGGAGATTTTGAGAAACCGCTACCTGACCGCTGTTGAGATACGCCAGCGGCTCCAAATCGCAAGAGGCGTTAATGTTAGTGAGCGTACGGTGAGAAGACGAATGGAGGAAGTGAATTTAAAAGCTCGTAGACCAGCACGAGGTCCAGAACTTCTCAGACAGCACCGAGTAGCCCGACTTCAGTTCGCAAGAGAACATGTCAATTGGACCCACGAGCAATGGGCTAGAGTGTTGTTCACAGATGAGTGTCGAATAGCTTTACGTGCTCCAGACGGTCGAGAACGAGTGTGGAGAAAAAGAGGAGAGAGGTTTCTACCCATTACCACCACCCAAACTGTGAGTTTCCATGGAGGCTCAATAATGGTATGGGGAGGTGTAAGTTCCGACGCACGTACAGAGTTGGTCATCGTCGATAATCGGCTTACAGCTACTCGATACATCGAGCAAGTTCTTCAGGAGCACGTAATGCCTTATTCGGGATTCATTGGACACGACCAATTCCTCCTCATGCACGATAATGCACGCCCGCACGTCGCACATTGTGTAGAGGAATATCTGGAAGAGGTTGGAATACAAAAATTACAGTGGCCAGCTCGTAGCCCGGACTTAAATCCAATTGAGCATGTATGGGGTATGCTCAAAAGAAAGATAAAGTCCAGCTCCAAACCGCCACAAACTCTAAATGAGCTCCGAAATGCAGCGCTGGCCGCTTGGGACAGCATACCGCAAGTTGATGTCAGAAACATCATTCAAAGCATGCCAGATCGAATGCAAGCGGTTATCAGGGCTAGAGGAGGAAACACCCGATATTAAAACTGATAGACAATAAAGAAACAGACTTAATTTTTAACTTTGTAGTGTTTTTAAAGTGACAATGGAAAGATGTTAATTTTAGTGAAAACATGTTATCTTGAAATGAAAAATTTCGGTGAAGTAAACATTAAATTTCTATGTTCTAAAACCATTAGAGACACTTATTGAATGCATCTACCCTTAATTTACTGTTAAAAAAACGTTTCAGTGCAAATAATCAGCAAATTCACGAGTGGCCAAGTTTCCGTGCCGGTGAGTGTATTAACCATCAGGTTCCTTATATAGCTTTACAAAAACTTGAAGAAAAAAAACAAGCTATTATTGAATAATTCTTACATCACATCATGTTATTAAATTGAATACCAATAATTAAATATAAAAAAGCTAAATAACTATATAGCTGATAACAACCCTTGGGAATGAGGTGTTTGCTTCCAAGCTGTTTTTAAAACAAGTTTTGTAAATTATAAAGTCCCGCTGGATTTCTTGCTGGTTTTTCTCAGTACTGTGAATTTTTTTCCGAACCAATGGCAAAAGTAAAAAAATTCCAACTCATAATCTGTATAAATGAAAATTATTGTACCGCATTGTATTGTAGAAGTGTTCTGACCTGGTAGGCGGGCTGGCACAGTATGGAGGAGACGAACTGGTGCGGGAAAGGCTCGGGCGCGCGCGTGGCGTACTGCCGCGCGCCGCCCACCGCCACGCGTCCGCCGCCGTACAGCTGGTACTGCAACACCACAAACGGAATTCTATTACTGGTACTGCCGTGCTGCAGCTACATTATGCTTGTAGCACGAATGCCTCGGCCCCGGGACTCCACGCTCTCACAAGATACCAGCATAAATTAACAGCTCAATTGCTGCTGTGTTTCGTATGATGAGTGTAGAGATCCTTTTCACTAGTAACTAGCATCTTTACTGATAGCTTAACTCATTCATGACAGTATATCAATAACCCAATAACTTGTTTTTTACTATTTTGAATCAGTATCAGGAAGATGCTGCTACTCATCTCCTGTTTTATTTCCCTCTGTCGCTTCTTATTACACCCATGGAATGATATAGGACATATTAATATGATATTACTAAAAAAACTGTTAAAATTTGAAAAGCTGTAATGAATAAAAATGATTAGGAATTCAATCGTAGCCTTCTAGGATGAACTACATGTCTAGCGCACGGGACCCATTGCTCAGTAACTTCTAAAATATGTTTGTAAAAATTTAAAATTATGGAATATAAAATGTAGTTTCTTGTTTATTTTTTCTACAAACGTGCAGTGGTAAAACATACATAAGTGACTTTCAAACTATTATTACATTATATATTAAATACCAAAAATATAATATATAATGTAATAATACTATATACCAAAATAGTAAATACCAAATATTTAATAAATAATGTATAATACAATAATAATAATATACTCCACTTTATGCGCAAAGTTTAGAAGACTCAGACGTGCAGACTGGACGTAACTATAGATTAGTGGAATTATAGATTGAATAGATAAATTCAACTCAAGTATTAACTCTTTAATCGTAAAGATTTTGTTTTTGAAATATGTAAACTGATAAAATTTTATAATAATTAATTGATTACAGCAAGATTACTACTAATATTTATACTTTCGTCACATGAATTTTATTTTAGATAAGATAAGGTTTAACTACAAAAAAAAAAATTAAATATTGATATCATATTAATCGAATAAAATCAGTTATGACTAATTTAGAGTAGTAAAATATGAGTTTCATCTGATAAACTGTTTTTGTTCATGAAGTAATCGTTAGTTGCGCTTGCGTGCAAGTGACCCCGTTTTATATATTGTGGTGATTGGCTAACGGTAGAAATCATGAGGTATTATCTCAATCCTCACCAGGTAGATATTAATTCTACGGAGCCACCATCACAATTGTTTTCAAAAATAATTTACGCTACTTAAGTGTGTGTCGGCGGTGTATATGTCGGCGGTGTGTCGGCGGTGTGTCTAAGGTGTGTCGGCGGTGTTTCGGCGGTCTGTCGGCGGGTTGTCGGCGGTGTGTCGGCGGCGTGTCGGCGGCGTGTCGGCAGTGTGTCGGCGGTGTTTCGGCGGAGTGTCGGCGGAGTGTCGGCGGTGTGTCGGCGGTGTGTCGGCGGTGTGTCGGCGGTGTGTCTGCGGTCTGTCGGCGGTGTGTCGGCGGCGTGTCGGCGGGCTGTCGGCGGCGTGTCGGCGGTGTGTCGGCGGTGTGTCGGCGGTGTGTCGGCGGTGTTTCGGCGGTCTGTCAGCGGTGTGTCAGCGGTGTGTCGGCGGCGTGTCGGCGGTGTGTCGGCGGTGTGTCGGCGGTGTGTCGGCGGTGTGTCGGCGGTGTGTCGGCGGAGTGTCGGCAGTGTGTCGGCGGTGCTTCGGTGGAGTGTCGGCGGAGTGTCGGCGATTGTCGGCGGTGTGTCGGCGGCGTGTCGGCGGTGTATCGGCGGTGTGTCGGCGGTGTGTCGGCGGTGTGTCGGCGGCGTGTCGGCGGTGTGTCGGCGGTGTGTCGGCGGTGTGTCGGCGGTGTGTCGGCGGTGTGCCAGCGGTACGCACCAGGTTGTCGTAGGGCGCGGCGCGCAGGCGCTGCTGGTTGATGGTGAGCGCGAGGTGGTGCGCTGCAGGCGCGGCGCCACCTGCCACCACGCCGCCCACGCCGTACTCCGCGCCGCCCACCCCGCTCACGCTACTCACGCCGCCCACGCCCGTGCCCGACCGACGGCACACCTGCAACAACAGCACCTTCCAGTTATACCAAATTATACACCCAAGAGTAGTGACAAACATTTAGATAAGGAACACACTTAACTTTAAATTTATTTCTATCAGTGTTTGTGTTTGTCAGAATCGTGCGTGAACGGTTACCTCGTTTTGAAATATAATATAGATTTTTTTATCGAATAAGGGTGACAAACAAACACACAGTTCACCTGATGGTAAGTGAATGTTGTATAGACATCTACATTTATCCTTAATTAAGAATTAAAATATATATCAATTAAGATGGAATGCCTTCCAATAAAAGGATCTCTGGTTCTATACACCCACCCCATTCATGCTACACTATAATACAGCTGCAGCACGACTCTACCATATTTAAAAATGTGTGTTTTGTTTATGTATGTATGTAGATTAAGTAACATGTCCACATTAGACAAAATAAATACTAATTTCTTACTTTAAAAAATAAGGAGATTTTATAAAATACATACATAAACACTTCACGTCTGTCTTTCAGAGGGGTACGCAGAGACTACAGACTTCCATTTGGCATGATCCTGACACAACTCTCTCGCCTCCTCCCCATTCATATACGTACGCATACATGCTCGTCGGTTAAGGGTACTCCTAATTTGGCCCAATTTCAATATATCGCCAATTTAGTCTATAAACTTTCGCCTAGGACGTCCCTTTCCGACTCTTCCATTCATAACTTACATAAATTTGCTTGTCACTCTTTCCGCATTCATTCTTTCCACATGACCAAACCACCTAAGCATTCCTTTCTTAATCCTGATCACAACATCATCTTGCAAACCACACTCTTCTAATAACACACAATTTCCCATCCTGTCACTCAGATTCAGCCCTAACTTACTCCGAAAGAATTTCTATATGTGTTTATTCTATTCTCGTGCGTTATACGTTAAAGTTGAGACTAGCACAGCATTGTGAATTGCTATAGGTGTTTTTGTTTTGATAAATTCTGACTTTCCACAATAGAGTGTAGAGCCCCCATGTACTCTATTTACTGCGTTCACCCGTCATGCTATATCCTTATCATATCTCCCACACCTGCTGAATACACATCCCAAATATACAAACTCATCTTCTTCCTCGAGCAACTCCCTCTTCTATTCTTATTTCACATATCTTCTTACTTTCTTCTTTTTCAAAAAAGGATTTCACTACATTTCGTATTATCATAGTTTACAATTTAATCAACAATACAAAATGCAAAACTGTTTCCTTTTACATAAAGGGATCAAGTATAGTAAAAAAAATACTACAAATTTTACCTCCATCATTTGCACGGAAGCCTTTACATTATTACAGTGAGCGTAATCGACAAGATGCGCGAGTGTCACAAACGCGTGATTCAATGCCTCCCCGGGCATTATTCTTCTCTCCTGTAATTAAAAATACAATAACAATAGTAACTATAACGCAACAGTTACAGAGAGATAAAAGTTGCTCTTTGAAATAGAAATTTCTAAGAGCAAATAATTCATTATTTTGTAAATATTAACAATATACTAATTATTTATTATTTCAATTTTGACTATATAAATTATTTGTAAGATATTTGGACCGCATGTGATACAGATATTATATAAAATGTTCATATTACCTGGTCCATAGTAAGCATTTTCTTGAGTAAGTCGATAAATTCCCTTCTGTCTGCTTTCTCGGCTAAGAGTTGGCCACCTTCAAGATCTGTTGGTACATTAACCTGTTGAATAACAATTTATATTTAGATGAAGCTTCCTTAATGATGAAAAAATGTAAATTATGTTCATTGCTGGAGACAACCCTTTAAAAAATTTATAAGATTTGTTAAGAGTAAATGTACTTTACCGTTTAGGGCTACTTAACCACTTACTACCATTGGTTAGGATTATAGTAAAGTACTGACTTAAGTTATTAGTATAAAAATATAAGATTTACTGAATATAAAATTTAAAATTTCCGACACTTTATAGAATTTATCTTTGTATAAAACTGTGTGTTGTTTAAAATAAAACTGAAATGTTTAATACTAACCTGTCCAATGTCGTCAAGGCAATTGAAGATATACTTCCTGGCTTCTTTGCTCTTAATGCCCGTCTCAAGCTCATGTTCCTCAGGGGTTTTCAGTCGCCAGAATGGGTACGTACTGTCTACGTCGCGGTAGAAGAACTTCGCCGTTTTTGATGCGCTGTAATGAAAAATGTTACATTAGGGACTTGGGAGTTTACTAAGCAATATGAATCCATAAGATATGTATCATTAAAACTTACGACAGTGAAAAAAAAAGCAAAATATTCAAGTTTGTTGCAATAAGTGCAATTATGCATCACAATATAACAATATAACAACACCCGAAAATCGCTCATTTATGTTTTTGCACAAATGTTAGCTTAATCTGAGATTTGAATAGCTTAGGTTTTGCAACATTCCGCATTATTGTACACTAACTACTATGAGATTCGTCAGTATCGAATGTATGTTGAGTATGAGTTACCTATTGAGCATATGTTCAGTAGGCAGGCCTTGTGTCTGCGAGATGTATCGTATCTGGTCGTATTCCGAGGATCCCGGGTACAGGGGCCAGCCCAGGAACAGTTCCGCGACCACGCAGCCCAGGGACCACATGTCTATTGCTTCGCAGAACGCTAGGCCCAGGATTATTTCCGGCGCTCTGGAAAAAGATAAAAAAATTATCATGGCTTGATTTGAAAGAGGAATTTCATTATGTTTTTTTTTTGCTGGACATCATATAATATTTGTTTTAAAAGTGTATAAATTTTTATAAATAAGTATACATGTATTTTTATAATAATGGTAATGCTTCCAGTTTATTTATACCTCATAGCTGTGTTCAACCTCCTCTCATTTCTGAGGTTTATGGAGCAATTATACTGCTGCCTGCTGTTATGTCACATGTCTAATACAGGTAGGTAGCCATACAAGCTAGGGTGCACCTGTAATGTTGTATGGTGTAATAAAGGTAGGTAGCCATACAAGCTAGGGTGCCTTTACAGTAACATCTGTCAAGTAAGCTTGAGCTGAGTAGAGAACATACAGGGTATAGATATGCTGCCGCTACATTAGTTGTAGTAGCACGAATGGGTCAGGCTCGACCAGGGTAGGACTACGTTCTCACAGAATACCGCCGTAAAATAGCAACTTAATACTATTAATGCTATTGAAATAATACTAGTTTTTACGGAATTTATCGCGTATATTTAACTTTTTAATTACCCGACGTTTCGAGAATTTTACAGCACCCATGGTCACGGGACGGACTGAGATGTTCAACGTCCAGCTGTCATAGTTAACCGCGGTTACCATAGATTAAAATTTAACTTTTGTTCCGATCTACACAGTATGAACTTATGGTATCATGGAGTCTTGCAGTTGTATGCTTGGGTTGGGATTTAATTTTATTTATTATAGGATCTCAAGCAGATGGTAGCACCCAGCCATCTTCTCTATTGAAATTAGGATGTTTTTTGATTTCAATAGCCTCGCGAATCATCCTTGGAAGGAATCGGTGTTCTTTAGCGAGGATTTGTGGTCTATCAAATCTGATGTAGTGACGGGGGCGATCCTGTACATGTTCACAGACTGCAGACTTCCCGGAGCGTCGATTCTTCACATCAGCTATATGTTCTTTGACGCGGGTTTTAATGGATCTTTTAGTTTGTCCTATGTAGGAGAGACCACATTCACAATCAAGCTTGTACACTCCTGCATCTTGCAGAGGGACGTTACACTTGACTGATGGTAAAAACTGACCAATCTTCTTCGGCGGCTTGAAGTATGTTTTGATGGAAGCGCGCTTCAAGATGTAGCCAATCTTGTCAGTGACTCCTCTAACATATGGCAGTACAGCAGGTACACGCTCGACTGTGCCCGGCTTCACTCGTTCTCTGTGACGTAGGCGCGGGACCCGAAGCTTGTTGTCATGCATAACTTGCTTGACGTGTTGGAGCTCGGCAGCCAGGTGTTTACTGTCACAGATCCCTCGTGCTCTCTGAAACAAAGATTTACCGACGGTAGCTAACTGTGAAGGATGGTGGTGAGAATCACCGTTTAAATATCTATCTGTATGGGTCTTTTTTCTATACACAGTATGGCTCAAGGTGTTATCAGGATTCCGAATTACTAACACATCTAGAAAAGCTAAGGAATTGTTTGCCTCTAACTCCATTGTGAACTGAATTTTAGAATTTATAGAGTTAAGATGGTCTAAAAATGCAGTTACTTTATCTAAAGGTAGAATTGTGAAAGTGTCGTCTACGTACCGCTTGTAGAAACTTAGATTTATGGGAGAAGTAAGCAGGGCTTTCTCCTCAGTCTTCCATGAATATGTCGGCGACAATGGGAGATACAGGTGAGCCCATCGCCACACCATCTACTTGCTTGTAGAACTCCTCCTTCCACAATAGGTAGCCAGATGTAAGGCAGTGTCTGAGTAATACTGCATATTCTACGGGCATGTTGTTTTCTTCCAGCCTTCTAGTTACAATTGAGATGCAGTCTTCAACAGGTAAGCATGTAAACAATGACTGCACATCAAAACTGACCATAGTTTCATTGTCTGCCAGACGTAGGTCTTTAATCTCGCTGACAAAATGGTAGGAATCCTTTATGTGTGCTCTTGTATGTCCCCTGAGCGGTGAGAGTATTTTCGCTAAGTGTTGAGCCAATCTGTAAGTTGGTGAATCGATTTGGCTCACTATGGGGCGTAATGGAGCATTGGGCTTGTGTATTTTTGGTAACCCATACAACTTTGGTGATTTGGCGCACGTAGGTATTATCCATTGGAGTTAGAGGCAAACAATTCCTTAGCTTTTCTAGATGTGTTAGTAATTCGGAATCCTGATAACACCTTGAGCCATACTGTGTATAGAAAAAAGACCCATACAGATAGATATTTAAACGGTGATTCTCACCACCATCCTTCACAGTTAGCTACCGTGGGTAAATCTTTGTTTCAGAGAGCACGAGGGATCTGTGACAGTAAACACCTGGCTGCCGAAGCTCCAACATGTCAAGCAAGTTTTGCATGACAACAAGCTTCGGGTCCCGCGCCTACGTCACAGAGAACGAGTGAAGCCGGCCACAGTCGAGCGTGTACCTGCTGTACTGCCATATGTTAGAGGAGTCACTGACAAGATTGGCTACATCTTGAAGCGCGCTTCCATCAAAACATACTTCAAGCCGCCGAAGAAGATTGGTCAGTTTTTACCATCAGTCAAGTGTAACGTCCCTCTGCAAGATGCAGGAGTGTACAAGCTTGATTGTGAATGTGGTCTCTCCTACATAGGACAAACTAAAAGATCTATTAAAACCCGCGTCAAAGAACATATAGCTGATGTGAAGAATCGACGCTCCGGGGAAGTCTGCAGTCTGTGAACATGTACAGGATCGCCCCCGTCACTACATCAGATTTGATAGACCACAAATCCTCGCTAAAGAACACCGATTCCTTCCAAGGATGATTCGCGAGGCTATTGAAATCAAAAAACATCCTAATTTCAATAGAGAAGATGGCTGGGTGCTACCATCTGCTTGGGATCCTATAATAAATAAAATTAAATTCCAACCCAAGCATACAACTGCAAGACTCCATGATACCATAAGTTCATACTGTGTAGATCGGAACAAAAGTTAAATTTTAATCTATGGTAACCGCGGTTAACTATGACAGCTGGACGTTGAACATCTCAGTCCTTCCCGTGACCATGGGTGCTGTAAAGCTCTCGAAACGTCGGGTAATTAAAAAGTTAAATATACGCGATAAATTCCGTAAAAACTAGTATTATTTCAATGTGTAGTGTTCGCGTAAATATAAGAAATCACTATTAATGCTATGTTTCGTATGGTGTTTTTTCCATCTTAGTCCTTAGGGCTTGCAGCGCATCTGCATTTTGATTGTTAATCGAGGGTAAGAACGAGAGTAATACGAGATGTTGATGTCTATGGCACACAGCATCCATTTACCATCAGGTGAACTGTGTGCTCGTTTGTCACCCTTATTCTATAAAAATTACACATACACGTAGTTGCTATGCAACAAACACGATTCCGGTTTACCTATCCAATTTATATATACAATTAGTTACTCAGACAAAATTTTAGAATCTATTTTCGAATTATTCGGAAAATTAAACTTCACTATTATTTTATGCAATATGCCTTGAATGTAAAATTTTCATTTCAGGCAAAAAATTTTATAACAGTGAGCTAGTGCTTGACTTCTGTCCCACCGAATGGTAGGTGAAGTAGCCGAAGATTGTAAAGTACTCAGATTGTGTTCTGATATTGCAAAAATAACTTATTTTCTAAATTTATTTACTTTATTGTTTAAAAGAAACTACATAAAATATTGCAGGATCTACACTTCTTCCAAAATGAGTTGAAGTCAATGCTACAGTGAAATTAAACTTCAAAAGTTTTACACACAACAACACAAAAACAAACAGAATAATGTTTGTTACTTCAATGATTATTGACGTTGGTTTTATTCAATATCCTTTTGATAGGTTTTTTTTCAGATTTTTTTTATTAATACTAAGTAGGTAGAAGAGGTTTGCGTAATTGGTGTATGCTTAAATGGACATTTTTTTAATTGGACTAAGAAATATGGCAGTTAGCAGACAGACATTGACAGACTCCTATTTTCTATTATAAGTTTTGTTTCTACATCAATACATACTATATTAAAAATGGGCTAAAAAAGATGAAAACACTAGCCATGTATTGTCAAATGGCCTTATCAAGATTTGTCATCGGAAAATCTTTATTGAGTGTGGTTACCCATACACACCTTAATAGACAGGTGTCAGTAAGCACTGAGTTGCTATGAAAAATATTTAATAACAAACAAATTACAGAAGTTTTATATATGTAATTAAATTTTATATTAATTGATTATCATTAATGTTAAATTTCTCCTAGATAATTAAATAGGCAGATTGCTATAAAGTAACTAGGCCCATTCACCTGTAGTATCTGCTCTGCAGATAGGTGTTGCAGACTGCCTTGCTGACGTGTGAGGCGCTGCCGAAGTCGATCACCTTGACGCGGTACGGCTGCCGAGCCGGCTCCACCAGCATTATGTTCTCTGGCTTCAAGTCCGCGTGGATGAGGCCAAGTTGCTGCAATCAGAAAATATAATCTCAAGAATGTTTTTTTTACACAAATAAGTGAATTATTATTAGAAAATTAAGTTATAGTTTAAAGTGGTAAAATGATATACATTCAACATAATACACTACCAGCAAGCACGCGGTGTAGCTGTGATAGCTATAGAGTTATAGCATAAGTGTGACAAACGAGCTCACAGTCCACTTGATGGTAAGTGGATGCTGCAGCCTGCAGCTCTCAAAAACTCCTTTCTTCTATCCAATCTATCCTTAATAAGGAATTTAAATGCAGACGCGTTGTCACCCTGAGGACTGAGATGGAATGCCTTGTTACTTTTTATTTATTTATTTATTGGGTCTACCAGCGATTTTACAATACATAGGTTATATACATTTCTTAAAGTATAATTACTATATTACTTGCACAGAGTATGTAAAATCATTTAAAGGTAAACACTGCATGCTATTTTTGCTAGTATTAGTGTATAAATCTGAAATAAGTTAATAACAGAAAAAGAAAACAAAATCAGAAACAGACTAAAAAACACAATAGTAATTTTGGTAAAAGCCTGTAAAACCTTATCAATTTAAACAACAAAAGAGATTTAATCAAACTAATAATTTGTCTTTCAATTAAAATTACAACTTAATTTAACAACTATCATAATCTAGCCCAACTAAATATACATTATTAGAATTTAAAAGAGAAGATATACGTAATAAGTAATATGAGAAACAAAATCACACTCAGGATGACTGGCTGACTAGGCTATTGATAATTAATTTACGAAAGGTGGTAGGCGAATTAATGTTGATGTTAATTAACTGACTGTTACCAGTATAAAGGGTCTCCAGTTCTCTATACTTACCATATAAAACACAGCATTATTCTTTTTCACGCTGGCATTCTGAGAATGCGTGGTCCTCTACCCCTGACGAGCCAACCCATTCGTTATGCATCTATAATATAGCTGTATCGTGGTTCTAACACGTAAAGTAGGGATCAGTCTTACAGAAAATGTAAAAGTTTGCGTACAATGGAAAAAAGGTAGATTAGGTAGATAAATTTGTTTGCCAAAAACAATTTTTACACCCAATATGCTTTTGATCTTCAGCTATTTCCCTAAATTACCCTACAAAGGAGCCCACCACCATCCACCTGATGGTGAATGGCCATGGCTATGAATGTGCACTAGATGCGTTGTCATCTTAGAGCCAGGAATTAAGACGGAAGACTTGCTATCTTAGGCCAGTATTCAAAGGCAATTTTGAGTTTATATTACAACTTTGTTGGTAAAGGGTACTAAATTGACCCATTTTTTACATATGGCCAATTTGGTTAATAAACTTGTGTCTAGGTCTAGGGCATCCCTTGCTGACTCTGCCGCTCAATATTCTAACTGGAACAAAACAGTACTTTGCTGTTTAGCGGCAGAGAGAAGATAGTGGTATATGTCCAAATTAAATCCTAGATAGAAAAAATCTTAGTCTTATGCTGCCGATAATAAACTATGCGTTGGCACAGACTTATCTCAACAGCATCAAACATATTAGATCGTCTCCTCAATAACGACATCTCTGTAAATGAGACCATGTATCTTCTTTTCATACTCAGCCAGTTAGGCTGCCTATTGATCAGTGCAGATATGATAAAACACTCTGCACTCTTTTCATTATTTTGTACGATGCTTGTGCTCCTGAGTACTTGAAATCTAAATTTCAGTACCTAGGAGATTTTCATAATTGTTTTCTTCATTCTTCAGATAATCTAAAGTAGCTTGCGTCTTTACACCATACTGGTTCCAACAAGTTTCTTTTCGAAAACAAAGTTTGTGAAAATTTTAGTGAAGCATTGCGAGTGTTAATATTCTATCATCACATATTATTTTCCTTATTTATCATGGCATAGATATATATAATATTATATATAAATTAAATAGTATATATTTATATATTGTATGTATTTAATTAGATTTATGTATTTGTGTACACACACACACACGTTATATATATATATATATATATATATATATATATATATATATATATATATATATAACGGTTTATTTGAACTTCGTAAATTTTTTTAAATTATTAGGTTAATTTTGCTGACCTACCTCCCACATATTTATCTCTGCTTAGTCTGATGGTTAACTGGGAGGGAATTCCTTAAAGCATTAAGTCTGACATGTATGATTTTATTTTTTGGGCATAAAAGTTTAAATAAATAAATAAAAAGTCTTGCTACCTTCAAAATTAATTAACTTTTATTATACTGACCTTGAGTTTAAGCAGTGCGGTAAGCACCTGCTGCAGTATGGGTCTGATATACTTAAGCGGCAACGGTGAGAACTTGTTCTGCTTGAGGAAGTCGTACAGGTTCTGCTCCAGCATTTCGAACACAAGACACGTGTGAGAGCGATGCTGGAAGCACTCGTAAGCGCGGACAAAGTTGAACTCGTCCGCGGACTCCTGCGAGAGTCGGGACAGGATCGAAACCTGTAAGTTTAATTTTATTTTAAAAGTGATTTCCTTCTCAGTTCACTCATGATTATGACGAAGTTATCTGTAAAGTGTCAATAACGGAGAGGAGTGAAGGTTATATGGTAAAATATTAAAGGTAGGCGAAAAACTATAGGGCCAGAAAAATAAAAAGTTTGAATTTTAATTTTTTATTAAGGGTTATTATATTACCAGAGAGGCGATGGCTATCATGCAGTTTCCAAAAATGTGTTCATATATTAGTGTATATTAATGTTTAAAAAAAAGTCCCGATGGGTTCCTTGCTGGTTCTTCCCAAGACAGACCCAGGACAGAGGTTTTCTCTAAACCAGTTACCGATGCAAGACTCATAATTTTTATTGTAATAAAGTATTGAACATAAACCTCCTATAGTCTCACAGGCAGGATTTTCGCCTTAATTGTTACACTTAGTTGGCAACCGCAGCTTTTCATTATGTTGAGCTCTATTGCCTCTAAAGACAGGGCTCTTATGGGATAGCGGATTCTCCGCCACTACACGGTATACATATATATAAACATGGGTGTAAATAAGTTCTTAATTAAAGAAAAACAAACAACATTATTTGTAAGTAATATTTCATCCTTTCAAATAGAAACTTAATAGGAAAGACTTGCTTTCATATAAGCGAATAAAAGTACAGATATATTATAGAGAGCACTCTGCAAAGCAAACAAAAAGTTCTTGTAATTGGCCGGCGGCCAGAACGAAGTGGAACTAAAGCCCGGTTTACATTTTGAGAAGTGACAAGTGCGAGCGGCAATGACAAGTGACAAATACAGCAGCAAGTAGCAAGTTGGTGTTCACACATGTGGCAAGTGGATGTCATTATTATGTGAAATCTGCGAGTGTGAAATTGGGTAGGTAATTGTCAAAGAGGCGCTAGCATAGCTTTAAAGTTTAAAACTTTAATAAAAAAAGGTAAAATTGTATGATGAGATACCAAAGATGTGTAAGTGCCTTATTGCAAAGATATTGGTGCACACCAATTTCCTAAAAACGCTTAAGTGAGAAAAATGTGTTTTAAAGTTATAACAAGGAAAAAATTTAGCCAAAAAGCTCCAGCCCCTGACCTACAGGAGTCTTTAATTTTCTTTTTTTCTTGGTAATATGTAGACTTAAAGTTTCTTAACTTCGCATATACCCACTTCTTTTGCGCCGAAACCGGCCATTCCCATTGCCTGAGATATTGAGGGCATCGTCTCGCATCATTTTTTTAAATTCAGCGATTTAATATTGTATAAACATGTGTTTCAATAATTCCTTGACAAATTTAATATTATTGCTATCTGACTACTTCGTAATAAAACAAAATTACTATAAATACGAGTATGTATACAATATATGTAACAAAAATATTTTATTAAATAACTATTATTATAACCAACACGTGTATGTTCTGACGTCGCCGCTAGAACGGGGGTGGCAGTGGGTGACTGAGGGGAAAGCAAGGTTAGCGCGGGGCAGAGATACTTGTCAGAGAATAGAGCAGCCCGCTATTCACTTGTTACTTTCATTTCGCCTTTCACTTGTCACTCGCACTTGTCATTGCCTGTTCACACGCACTAAGCACTTGTCATTTGTCACTTGTCATTGTCATTCGCACTTGTCACTTCTCAAAATGTAAACAGGGCTTATGAGCTTCTGGGAAAGGGTACTTCGCAAACTACATAAATGGGAACAAAACAGCAGTCTCCCACGCGACCGTCATATAAACATAGATGGAGGTGTTTTTAACAGGTCTAACATTTGGGAACTGTTTCGTGTTATGATTTATATGCAGTGGGTATTTTGAAAAATTACACAATTTATTAAAAAAGTTGGCTTCTATTAGGGGGGGGGGGGAGATTCATGGGGTTACCTGAATGCTATTAAGACATAAATAACTGTTTTTAAAGTGTTTGTCTGCGTGTTTGTCGGTCTTTTGAAAGTTATTGGGTTGAAATTTTAACATAAAGGATCTTACCTGAAAAACATGCAGGATATTTTGTAAACACTAAGATTTTAGAGAATAAATATAGCATGCTCGTAAATACTATAAGACCGAAAATGATAAAACAAATGGTTTTTGATGATAAACTTCAAAAGATATTAAAACAAAAGCTTGGAACGAAACAATTTCAAAAAGTCAGTAACTCTTTTTTTAAACTTATTAATTAGCCAGTGCTTAACCACAACCCTCCCGCTGGCAGGTGCTGATGTAGACCTAGATGGTAAATCGCGCTGTCTTAGCGTAACAAAAGCGTATTCACTTTTGCCTCGAAGACGCCCAGATTTTATTCGGACAGAAAGATAGACGCCTGCAAATTATTCCACTCCTTTGCTGTACGCATTACAAAAGACGAAGCTTAACGTTTGGTTCTTATGCGTGGAACATCGACAATAAAGGAGTGAAGACCCGCCCACGGTCTGGTCGTCCGATGGTGGAAAGGAGAGGGAGGAATTAAAGCATATGTAATTCCCGCGCTAACACACCGAAATGCATCCTACAGAATACCTAAAAGCTGGCTACTTTGCGCCTTATCTTCATTTTTTAAAATATCTTATTGTAAATGGATTTTAGCTTTATTTTTCTATCGAAAGGTGTTAATAACTTTTTTAAGAAAAAAAAAGATCTTTAACCCATATTTTTATCATTTTCCCATATCGCACATCATTATCGAGGGAGGTATCGAGGACAGTAAACAATTGGGTTCAAAGCGGTTTATAGATACATAAACTATTTCCTCAATTATTGCTATCATTGATCTGCAGTTTTTTTTTGTTTAAGTTCTTGTGGATAAAAACAAGTTGTAATTTTTCAATTACCATAATCCCTTACCTCAATCTGGCCTTGACGAGCATAGCTGGGATGGTTCTTGAGTATCTTGATAGCGACTATCTCGTTGGTGCCTTTCTTCCAACACTTCACCACCTGCCCGAAAGTGCCGCGACCGAGGAACTCCAACACCTCGTACCTGCGCGTTAGAATAAAACTCACAATAATATAAACATGTAATGTTGACTAACATGAAACCGACAGGTGTCACGTTCGTGACAACAATCAAAAGATTGATTTAAAAAAATACTTAAAACTCTTTACATCCTGTGTGTTTTTCGATTTTCAAATAAAGCAAGAGAAAAGGTAAATATGCATTTACCATTTTAAACTAATGTTTCTTACATTTTTGATATAATACTCATTTATTAGCAACATAATTCTTTCAGTGAAATTTATATAAAATAATAATCATTTTATAACGAGTAAGTTAAAAAGTAATCTGTTTAAAAACAACATGAATTTATCTCTTTAAACTATTTGATGTAATATTTATGCATATTAGAGTCAGTTTATAACGACGGCAACGATTACCAACACAACATTATAAATAATGTCGACCTCCCAGTCTTCTACAGCAGCGGTCGATAAATTTGACAGATAACGACCATAATGTTATCTGTGCTACTTATAAGCTGTCGTATATCTGTACTACATGTATAAGCCAATTAAAATCACAGGAAAAGGCACTTTGCTTATAAGGACACTTTATTACGTAAGTGGTAGAGCCACGCTGCAACTAAATTATGGTTGTAGAACGAAGGGTCAACTCGACCGGGGAATCACCACGCTCTCACAGAATATCAGCGTATAATATTAGCTTGATACTGCCGTGTTTCGTATGATGAGTGTAGAGAACTGGAGACCCGATTTACATGAATCGAGGCATTCCATCTTATAGTCCTCAGGGGTGACAACGCATCTAAATTTTCATTCATAATCGAGGTTAAATGTAGATGTCTATGGGCCACAGCATCCACTTACCATCAGGTGGACTGTGTGCTCGTTTGTCACTTTAATTCTAGAAAAATAAAAAAATCCAAATCCTCTAAGAAAATGTATTTTCAAAAAGACCAGCTAGAGAGATTTACACAGTTATTTAAGTTTATACGGAATACCTATATTTGTGTTATTTACGTAGCTAAATAGTTTTAAAAATATAATAACCAATTTGCAAGAATACAAAAGTTTTGTTTCTCAAAAATATGTATGTAAATACCATAATTATGTAAATATGTATATAAATATAAAAATATAAATTAAATAGATACATTAAGAAAATATATTGTACATAATTGACCACACATAAAATTTTAGATCATAGAGGAACAATAAATTTGTAAGGAGATATTTTACAGATTATTTTTCTGAAGCTTTATAACCTCAAAGATAAGCGATAAGTGTAAACACTGTTGTTGTTTTTATAGAATAAGGGTGACAAACGAGCACACAGTCCACCTGAGCGGATGCTGTGGCCCATAGAGAACTACATTTATCCTCGATTAAGAATCAAAACACAGATTCGTTGTCACCCCTGCGGACTAGTTAGTAAAAAGGGTCTCTGGATCTTTACACTCACCATACGAAACACAGCAGCAATAAGCTGCTATTTTACGCTAATATTCTGTAAGTGCGTGGTCCTTCCCCGGTCGAGCCGATCCATTCGTGCTTAAATCATAATATAGCTGCAGCGTGGCTCTTTCACGTATAAGTTGTATTATATGCGTATTATATTTTAATTTATCCAATTTAAGGATGTCAAAGATTGAATGGAAAACTCTTAATATATAAATATGATATAATAAAATCAACCCACTGACCGGTTGGACGAGGAGTAGAGCACCTCGTGCTGCACCAGTTGGTAGTCGCCATCGCCGCCGCAGCCCGATCCTGTGTCACCGCGCCCGCATGCGAACACAAAACGGTATGCCGCGCGTTACGTATTGTCCATTTTTTCTTTATTACTTACAAGTTTCATTGAAAATATATTTTATTGTGTACAGCCTAAAAGTGTAATTTAGTTTGTTTTAACTAAAGCCAGAAAAAGCTTTAAACGCTTTACGAGTCCAGTAGGTGTTTTCTAATTTCTAATTAATTTTCTAATTTTGTTAATAAAATATTATTTTTAATATAAAATAAAAATGATTATTATAAAATTAAGTTAAAAATTAAATAGTAATATAAAGTAAATAATAATAGTAAATAATAGTATAATAATAATAGTATAACAGATTATAAATTAAAATCGTCAAACAGCTTTCTTTATGCGAACATTTTATTTATACGACAGTAAGCCATTTGAAATTCTCCGAAACTGTCTCACAATATGTGTTCATACATTTAATAATCATATTTAATAATATATAATATACATATATATCATATATTATTAAATGTGTTTATAGGCTATGAACGTTTCGTATAGTCGCGTCTACACGTTGAAGAATTTAACTTTCTACTTATAACAGGGACCTTTTATGGATTTTAGAAAACACTTTTTAAGGTCAAAGGTAAGTAGTTTTTGTTTTATATTTGTAAAGTTTTAAATAAACCATATATTATATGAACAGATACATTTGCAAAATTTTATACACAATAGTTTGATATAAGTATACTGTATGTGTAATGTATATGAAGTAAACATACATTTGTGCTACACAAATAAAAAGGTGACACAAAAAATAAATAATTTTGCCTACTGGAAAACACATTCAGGAACATGATATTAAAAAAAACAAAGACGTAGAAAAAAAGTTATAACAATGTTGAATTCATCGCAAACAGCTTAAAATAACAACTAAGAATCGAGATTAATATGTTTATTATTGACAACCTAAAGGATACTATAAAAATATAAACAGTAATCGAATAATAATTTGTGTTTGGGAATACAAACAAACTACCGAGTTTTACTATGTATTAATTGCGTATACCACTGTTAGGTTGATTAAATATCATACAAGTCCAAATAGTGCATCGAATTTTTGAACTTAACTCTTTCTTAGAACTTATCACTGATTTATAACAAATAATATTTAGTTTTTATGTCTGTACTAATAAGGGAAAATGTTTATATTTTCAATGTCATTTTAGTTAAATAATACAATATTTCCGAAAACTTATTGAATATATCCATACCACTTTATATTATTTGAAAGTAACTTTTGTTTATATTTTTACTTATGTATCAAATGTTATAATCTAGGGGGTTATAAATTGAGATAAAATTATTTTAAAAGGGAGTCATGCAAATTTAGTAAAAAAATTAAACGTCATGCAGGGAGTAAATTTTATCAACTGATCATAATAATAATAATTTCATCAACTGATAGTAAGTTCATACTTTCGAAAGCAATATAGATGATCGAGATATGTTACACCCCTAAAGTTAAAATACATTTTGTAAGGTTTCATGCATAGATTTATACTAAATCTATGGTTTCATGCGTGTGTATATTGAATAATTCTAGAAATTATCTGAATGTTTGGTTTGTGGGAACAAAACACATGATGTTTGTTTTACGGCTAACAAAAAATAAATATGCAAATGCTTCCCTCATGTGAATATTTTTATATACGGGTATTAAAATTTCAATTTGAAAAGTTAAATCAACGTCAATGTAATTCTAACGACCTAAGCTATAAAAATGTATTTTTTGACTCAAGTTTCCTCTCGACAAAAATTAATTTAAGCTCTCATTTTCAATTCAAGTCAATTTCAAAACAAGTCAATTTTCTCGACTAAAATAATTATTTATAAGATAATTAAGAAGTTTCATGTCATTTTGTCTTGGTAGAGATCGGAGCAGCGTGTTCGGCCCTAGTTGTAATATCATATTTTAATATTAAAATATTATAACAGTTTGTATGACGTCACACCGTCTCCGTTCAGAAAACGTTGTCTAAATGTTTAGTAACTTCAGTTCTTTAGAAGCGGTTGTTTAGGAGAAATAAACAAATATCTTGCAATTATAATTTTCTTCTTTGTTTATTTTATCTATCACTTTCGGAGTGTAAAAATATATTAATTCTCTAGAAGTAAAATAATAATATATTGCAAGTATTGATATATTGACGGCCGCGATACGAAAGAAAGCTCTGCTGTAGTCGTAACATTTTATCAAATAATATTAGAGTTAGAAAAACTTAACACGTATTGATCATGGACTGTGATTGAACTGATAATTATTTTATTTTATCCTGGATCTGATCAGGATACTAGGATAAAGTTATTATCCTACGATACTATTATATACGAGTGAACTACTTACACTACACGTTGGTGAAAATTACATTAAAAGATTCCGTTACATAGACAGATAGATACACGCGAAGCAAATAAAAGCGTCTTAAAAAGTTTAAGAGATATCGATTTCGTACTGGGATAAACACATCTCGATCGGTCTGTCGCTCGATCAATCGACTCGTCAGGGGCTAGGGGGTGTGGGGTGTGGGGGGTTGGTGAGGTGTAGCAACAATGTGGACATTACGTTTGTTACCTTGCGGCTGGGGCGGGTGGTTGGGCCCGCCCGCCGCCAGCTGCTTGCTGTGCGCCGTCGTCGTTGCGGCCGCCGCCGCTCGGTGGCGCGCGCCGCTGCCCGCCCGCCGACGCTCGCTGCTATCTCCCACACTGCAACCAACGTCACGCACCTTAACAATACGTTCTTATATACACGAATAGGTTCTGGACATTAACAAAATTAACCGACGCTTTGGGAAATCTGCAGTCTGTAAACATGTTCAAGATTGTCCGCAATTAAATCAGATTTGATAAAACACAAATTATAGCGAAAGATTATCGATTCCTACCAAAGATTATTCGTGAGGCTATTAAAATAAAAAGAATAAAAACATCCATATTTCAATAAAGGAGATGGCCAAGTTCTACTATCTGCTTGGGATCTGATAATTAACTAAATTAAATCCAAACCCAAGCATATCACCGCAAGATTTCAAGATACTGTAAGCTCATTCTGCCTAAATACAAAAATGAATGTTCAAAGGCCAAAGGTAGCCCGGGTTAACTATGACATCAAAACTTCAAACACTTCAGTCGTCCCAGTGACCATGGGTGCTGTGAAGCACCCGAAACGTCGGTACATATTTAAAAAAATAAGTTCAATTAAACGCGATAAATATACAATTTATTAAACGCGATGCGGTAGAGCCATATTGTAGCTATAATAATAGCCGCAGGTTCGACTAGGATATGACCACGTTCTCACAGAATAACAGCTTCAAATACGGGAACTTGAACCCTTTTTATTTTTAACGAGGCATTTTATCTTAGTCCTCAGTCTATGCGTCACAGCATCCGCTTACGTGGTTATATGCTCGTTTGTTACCTTTATTTCATATATTTAAAAAAATGTCTTCCTGGCCACAAGTTTTTGTACTGTTTAAAGTTGCGAAGGAGATATTACACTGTAGTTACGTAAAAGAGACCTTTGCGATTAAGGGTAGCCTAAGAAATAGCGTCAAAACAAACCGGGGCGATCACAAGTGTTCTATTCCGATCTGAGGGGCATAAACCAGCAGCAGGGTTATGATCGTAATTACTGCATACTTTCTTCAGTTGTTAAATGAATGGGAATGATATATTATCTTAACTTATTAGAAAGTCTGATAACTCTTCATCTTAGTATTCATTTATGTATATATATTAATCTTTATTTGGATCTGTCCAGGGGACTGTTTTTTCTTATGGTACTTTGATCAAAAATGATCAAAAACTTGAAAAAATCACATATCAACAGCGGGAACCTTCAAATTCTGTAGCAAGCTACTACCTTCGCTGTTTATGTCAGGACCACTCACTCGCACTAGTTAACTTACGTCTCGTGTAATGCTTGTGCAGTGCCAGTGACAACAGTATAAACATAGTACAAACAAACTCGAACACTATTCAATTAGTGTTCTAGCATAAATATGTTCCTGCTGCGATTCGAATACAGAACAAATATTGCACTATCAAACTACCGAATAAGTCGTACAGTCCATAAATATTGTATTTCAATCTCTCTCATTGTAGGTAGAATATTCCTTATTTGTGGATTCCTTAAACGAATTAGTGACTGTAGTAATATCAGAAGTCTTGCACCAGTGACGCCGCTTTCCGTCGCGGTCAGGGTATTTTACATATTATATTAACATGAGATGGTTTATAGTATCCAATCCATGGGGGGACCAGTTCTGAGCTTTTCTCTTTGTACAACATTTTTACGACACTCACGGAGGGGTGAGCCAAGTTGACTTTCAGGAATCGCACAACAACAACAAAATTTACGTTACTAGAAATATATATAAAAATTTATTAAATCAACGTTAAGTTACGTGATTTATAGCATTGATCTCTTTGATCCATTGAATGATAGATAATTAGTAGAACTAGGCATACATAAGTAGGTATACATTTTATATAGAATATATATTTCATATGAATTAAGGTTGACATAAGAGCACACCACCTGATGGTAAGTGGATGCTGTGGCCAATAGACATCTACATTTATCTTCAATTAAGAATCAAATGCAGATGCGTTTTCACCCCCGAGGACTGAGATGGAATGCCTCGTTTCCAGTTATACTAAATCTAAATATACTATATTCGTTGAATGGTTTTCTATTGGCCTAAGGTAGTTCCTTAAATAGGTGGCAAAATAACCATCTCGATATTATTTATTCATATTCATTCATATAAATCTCGAATAATATATTGATAATTCGAGATGGTTCCATGGTAAATGCTCCCGAGCTCACGAAAGCCGCCGCCTGCGATTGCCATGCCGCAATGCTGGAACACGAAGCGGTCTTATCAGCAGCACGTGGTCCTCCTAGAGCCTTTGTAGTAGTTGCAACGCAGTGCTATTGGGTTGTCTTCTGGCGGTTATTTAGAGAAATCGATCCTGTCACTGGATAGCAACACTATATCTACCTGTGAACGGTCCAGCCATATCCCCAGTACTGTGATAACGTGACCTAAACCTTGATGTCACGTTTCCCGGGGGAGAAGGATCAAGGGTTTATTCCCATTATTTCGGTAATTAATTATTTGCAGTCTCTGCCTACCCCTAGGCGTGAAAATTTATGTGTGTGTAATTTTTAAACATTTATGAATTTTTGTAATTTGAGTGTTGTTTAATCCTCTTATTATGTTAAAAGCGTATCTGCTATGAGAACTTCACAAAAAATCACATCAAAGAAAAGACAAAACAAACGAATAAAAACACATTGTGATTAGTTAAGTTTATAGCGAATAAGGAGTCGAGCGTAAATTTATACAAATCGTAAAATGAATGCATTTCGAAGCCGGTTGAAATGTTTAATTAGCTATGAATATGTTCATAGCATTACACATACCAGTAATCACAGGCATGTGTGCACCCACGGGTTTCCTCTTTATTGAGACACGCAACGCAATCAATCAATACTTTATAAATGCGATACGTATGAAGAGATGCTTATGAAAACACATAAGGGTATATTTTTGATGTAGTGTTGGTTGAATAATATAATATCCTCCAGACGGAATTTCGGTTACGGCGGCCTGTATCAACGGAGACTACCCATCGGCGCAGGACAGGATTATAGTGCCCAAGTGTATGCGCAAGCACAGGTGCATTCTCTATTCCCTCACTCTCATAATCCGATGGGATGGTAAACCGACACGACTGGGGAGAGATCAGGCGCAGGACTAACGGCTTTACGTGCTTTCCGAGGCACGAATGCGAGACACCGCCACCTTCCTGACCCCGGGCAGCTACTGAGAATGTTTTAACGCAAAAACTCAATGATTTGGTTGAATAATATACAAGTCCATTTATATTACAAAGCTAAATTCTAAAATAAACAACTAAATGGAGCGTTATCAATTCGTAGTTTCAGTCTGCCGCGGTGCTCTAGTGTGTTGGTGGACTTCGAATTCCCTTGAAATATTTTATTCCACATCCGCTTCGGGTTTCCTTACATGTTTTCCTTTATCTCAAGCACGTGGTAAAACAGGTATTAAAATAGAAATTAACAATTTCATTAGTGCCATCGGGAATCGAACCCGGGTTGCTCACGTGCTCTAAAAGCTTAGTCTCCTAAGCTATCTAAGATGTTATTATATTTATGGTTGTGACCAGCCACAGGGAGACTGACGTGATGGACGACCTGATGTCATAGTTAACGATGGCTACCTTCATTTTTTAAATATTAATTTTTGGTCGGATGTGTTTATAATATCTTGAAGTCTTGGAGTATTGCGCTATTAAAGCAATATTTAGTAATTTATGGATAAATCTGCCCCGGCTTCGCACGGGTGATATATCTATGTGAACGATATGGCAGAGCATAAAAAACCAATTAACAAAAATTAATTTTAATATAATTACTAGCTTGCCAGGCAGACGTTGTTCTGCCCTTTTTGACGACCCTTTGTCATGTCCTTTAAAAAATCCTTAAATTCGCAAATAAAATTGTGGGTCACTCATGGGCAAAAAACTATCGTATCACTCAAGTTGGACCAAACTGCACACGGTGTGCAAATTTGATTTAAATCGGTTAAGTAGTTTAGGAGTCCATCGTGGACAAACAACGTGACACGTAATTTTTATATATTAAGGTTAGATAATATACAGAGGCACAATTTTAAAGCATATCCTCTATGTGAATGTATTTATTAACAATAATTTTATGATTATAATATTACTTTGAACTACATAACTGTTAAGTAACCATTCCAGACCAACACAATAAGAAAGATGGAGCGCCGCGTACATATCAAGTGACGCGAAAACCAAGCTCAACTTGTTGCACTCACGTACACTTACGCACCCAAAATCATTTGCAACTGACACCATGGTTTTGATGCTTATGTGTACGTACAGCAGTAAAATTTTTCGGGCTGATAAAGAAAGAAAGAAGACAGATTCACTTGAAATGTACGCAGCGCTCTCTTTTTCTTTATTGGTCTTCTGTAACCATAGACTATTAAACAAATAATCATATACATGTATTTTTACGTAACGTGTCGTAAAGATGGTACATATATAATAAAGCAATTTGCAAACCCTGCTTCCGAATTTCCTATCCAATCTGAGCGTTGTTTGGCGGGTTGGTCCCAGTGGTAAAAACTTGCCCGAGTTTCATTACCAAATTAGCACGTAGCTAGTAAATACGTTCCATACGTACAAAAGGGATTAATTAAAAAGTTGTTAGAGACTGCATTTGAAATAACTGCGTGCTTCGTTAAGTAAACGGCAGCAATGTATTCGTGACAGAAACACTTTCTAAACAAGGTCAATAATTTTCTTTGATTACATAATTAATTGTAAACTAGCGATCCGCCCTGGCTTTGCACGAGTTATGGATCTCGACAACAACGCCACCTACCGGTGAGTTTTTAAACCATCCATGGACCCATTCAAATACACACAAAAAATTTCATCAAAAACGATAGAGCCATCAATCAATTTTTAATAGAGATTAGGTAAATTTTTCTCACGTTTCTGAAGTAAATTAGTAAGGGTTAAAAGAAATTATACAAGTACACGATTACTAAGCGATACTTCTTTACTGCCGAGGAGTCTCTCTGCCTCCAAGCTTTATTCCGATCTAAAGTGTATGCAATTGGAAAGTCAGAATAATTTCAGCCTCTGAATCAAACGATCCACAGCAACAGCAATATTTTAATTATTTTCAGTTGACATCAGGAAGATGCTGCTGCCCTCATCTCCTGCCTTAGTTTCCCTCCTTCGCTTCTTACGATAACCACGGGATGATAACGACATTATGAGGTAATGGATATTCCTACGCCGCCAAGGCACACCAAAATAAATACATAGTATTAGCAATTGGAGAACGGATAAATAACATAGCGTTTAAGAAACGCGTTTTTAGCGTTGAAACCTATTTTTTTGCTTTGCGAGGGACTACTACAATAAAAGTGAAATTGCCTCCTGACAAGTAAAACATTCGTTTTCAAACAAAAAAATGCGAACATTCCTTTTGCCTGATTCCTAAAAACCGGTACATCTGCAGATACTTAGTTGTAAATTGTGTAAGCTTCGGTTGCGTATTTCGCTTCGTAAATTATAAAAATGTATTTAATTTTTTAAAAGCAAAATAATTAAAAATAGTAAAAGTTGATAATGTTTTGACGTAAAGAGAACATTAAGTAAGTTCTAAAAATGTTTCCACCAATTACAAAATATACCAATTAACCCATTAGTGGCCAAAATTAAATAAAAAACGTTTTTAACGAAAAATATTTATTTTGTTAATCTGGGCAGGACTAGCAAACATAAAATGAAACAAAAAAATTGTTTTTATTATTTTTTTATACTTTTTCAGGGGTGTACTTGTTTGAGTACATCGGCCACTTGTAAGTGTAATTTTCCGAAGCATGACTTTTCAACGCAGAGTGTTTTCAAACACTTCTTGCATCCCTATCGGACCCTTGCATGGCAAATGACGCACCGTAATTGCTTTTCAAGCTTCCTTGGGTAGAGGCTTGAACCATCTTGAGGCAGTCCTTTGACCAAAGAAGAATATGGTCTGGCTCTTTTAAGAGTTTCTTGTCGCAAATAGTATCTGGCAAGACTATGTCGAAGCAAGAGTTGATCCATCCATCCATCCTTGGTCATAACATGTAAACGCCAAGCGTTTGAAACGGCCATGTCCAACAAGTATATAAATAAAACTCATTACCACTTTTTGCCAGGAATCCCGATCCTGTATAATGATATGGACTGATCAAGCTCATCGATTCCACCCATACTTTTATTGTAGTTTTCAAATGAAAGCCGAATCCTTACATCGGTTTTCTCTCTTATTTCTGGGGACCATCTTTTTACCATGCTCATAGGTTCAAAGTAATCATAGTTAGTACATTGTACAAATGCCCCATTGGTTGAATTTGGTCATCAGTATGTCGGCTAAGGATCTAATTTTGAACATTTTATCTGTGGAATTTGATGTTTCATCGTTACGCACAAGATGAAGATATCTTTTTATTTCACGAAATTTATTCCTCGTCATAGCTCGTGAAACTAGCGCAACTCTGACGTCCTCATCCAGTCATCAATATAATGCTTCCCGAGGCAATTTGTGATATCCCGACGAAAACAAAATACCAATGAACTTCTTTAGGTCTGGTAAATCAAGTTGAAAAGAGTGTCTATTGTTTTGATTAGCATACAAAATACTATTAGATAGTATGAGCTGTAATACTTATTCATCCAGTATTTTTTCAAAAATCTGTATAGAATTTTGGTCTTTCAGCTGTTCCTTCATAGCAATTTGTTTGCCTTGCAACTCAGACGTATGCTGATGGCCAAAAGTATAAGATGGTGAACATTTTCTCCAGGCTGAAGTTTACTGCCACTGCTGAATGTTAGGCTTCCGACAAACTCGTTTTACGGCCAATGGTTCTTCGTCACTGAAATCATAGTAGGATGAAAAAGTACCTTTATCGCGTACCATAACCTCAATATTTCCGGGCACATCTCGTGACAACATATATGTCACCATATCTTCATCAGACCCTTCCTCTTCGTCAGTCACCACACTGGAATCAGGTGGTATTTATCTCCAAATCATATTCACAGTCATCATCACTATCTGTTGTGACTGCTGTAATTGCTTCCTCAAGTCCTATAAAGCTATTTATACCGAAAAACATCTTGCGACTCATTGCTGGTAAACTGAAACAAAGTTGTATTTTTTATCTATTGAAGTAACCAGTGTACTCAACTGAGTACATTAGTAAAAATCTTCATGTAAAGTTAGTAATAAACAATAACTGTTTCAAATTTGTAACTCACATTACAGACTACAATATATCTTATCACAATTATTACAAAAAACAACATTTACACAAATAATAATAATAATAAAATATAATAAAAATACTACTCACTTCCACGCTAGTCCAATAATGTAAAATCCGGTTGCTCCAAACGACACATATTTTAGAAGTACCCTCAATTTGCACGACATAAATAAAATATGAGTCTACCCTTTATCTTAATTAATAAAATAAAAACTAATAAACCCTCACAGATTTTGTCAATTAATTTTTAAATAACTGTACTCGTTTGAGTACAGCGACAGAGAATGGGTTAAAAAGCCATATTGTTAAATAATTATGAAGCTTTTATAACGGCGTTATTACTGATTGAGCTGTCCATAATATGATCCTCTTCTAAGTTGTTAAAAATACTATTATTTCTTATTGCGAAGTTAACTTATTTAATGCGTACCAAGTTCAGATCAGATGAATAAGTCTCTTACATTCTAAAAAAAGACAGACAGATTATCATTTTTTGGTACAATATGATACTATAAAATGCGACAGCATAATTGAATATGTTTTCTTAATTAAAAGCTAGTTGTAAAAACTATCTCCGCCTACAACTAAAATATAAATTAATTTATTGTAAACTTATGGTAATTGCGCTATTTTTTATTTTTGTCATTAGTATAATTATGTAATTTTTGCAGAATTGCTCGATGATATTATCAAATTATACTTACTAGTCACCATCTGAGAGATCGCTCGTAATATTTATGTTTTGAGTGTTTGTATTACAATAAAAAAACAAGATTAATTTACTTTCCAGTCGTACTTTCAATTATTTGTACAAACTTTAAGTACGCTTAATTTGTTCGGGCAGAGACCCTTTTAATATCGGTCTAGTGTAAGCAAGTAAGGAAAGTTAAAAGATATTGTAAGCTTTTTTATTCCATTAATAAATTTATATGATACGTTTGTTTGTAATTTATTTGTGCTACATATTTTATACATGCCCCATGTAAGTTTATATTCTACAAATGAACAAAAGCTAACTTACGGATCTGCGTCCAGCAAATCGAATTCATCCTCGTAGTAATCTTCTGTTTCATATTTGATTCTCGGTACGGACAGATCCATCGTTATGTACAACTTATCCACTATGTTACACTATACTACACAAATATATTCACTTATATCATAAATCACTGTCCACAAGCATTCAAATAATTTTTAAATATATTACATTGCACTTATTTTTGGCGTTCGGAACGAGACGGCGTCCGCGCATCGTTGAGGGTTGGGGATGAAATGACAGGAGAGGAGAGGAGGGAAAGGGGGCCTTGCATAGGGTTGGCGAAGTGGGGGTGCCAGGTAGTTAGGGGTCGTACAAATCCCGAATTCCCCGTATTGAAAGGGAACAAAATAGCATTAGTATGCGCTTGCGCACCGTTTTTGTGTTTATGGGAACGTAGACGTACTGTTATTTAAAGTGATTGTTTTTGCTTTAAAAGAATTAAGGAATGTAGCCCGTAAGTGACCTATTGTTGAGACCAGACGCATTGAGTTCTATATACAATTTTGTATATTTGAGGGTTATTTGGTTATTCTAATCGTTTTAAAGAATGCCTAATTATAATTAAATTTTTTTCATGAAGAAGTATGTCATCGTATATTAAGCTCAAATACAGAATAATATTTTAGTCGTAATTTTTTTACCCATTTTTATTCTTAATTCACAAATTACAAAATTTCGAAAGAAGAAAATAAAATAAAATATAGCCATAGTTTACAAAAGGTTTAAATGATATGAAATCAAGTTAGAGATTCAAATAAAATTTGAGATATAATTAGACAACTTTGTCAGTAAATCTATAAATGTAAAGATGTATATAAAGAGCATAAAAGTAATAAAACAGAACATAATATCCTAAAGTATAATCACCAAACACGTCGTCTGTATCAGTGTATACTGACGTCGGTTCGCGGCAACAGGGTCTGGCGCAAAGCACAGGCGGAGCGGGTGGCGGCGCGGGCGGCGGGGACCGCTCCGCATCGCACGCGCGACTCGGCACGGCGGGCGCGCCACAGCAGCCCGGACCGACCCCTGACCACCACGTGTTCTGCAATACAAAAGGTAAAACTGTTATTAAATACAAAACTTTATAAAAAAAAAACTCCACACAATTGTACACGATAAGTGTAAGCTGCAGTTTCAGGTATTTAGATATTTATCTCTTTTTTTTAAAGAATAAGGTAACAAACGAGTATACAGTCCACCTGATCATATGTGGATGCTGAGGTCCAAAGGCATCTATGTACATTTATCCCCGATTAACAATAAAAATGCAGATGCGTCGTCATCACTGAGGGCAGAGATGGAATGCCTTATTTCCAGAAACAAAGGGGTCTCCGATTCTCTACAATCACCGTACGAAACACAGCAGCTTTAAGCTTCTATTTTACGCCGGTATTCTGTGAGAGCGTGTCCTACCCCGGACGAGCCGACCGATTTCTGCTACAGATATAATATATAACTGCAAAGTAAAAAAATATGAATAATACTAGCAATAGTCGTACTGGTCATATAGCAACGGCGTAAGAGAATCCATTACCCCATGTTACTCCGCAGGTGTAGTAAGGGGCGAAAGAGGGAAATGAAACGGGAAATGGGTAGCATTGTTGTCCTGATTGCAATCGAAAGCAATAAATAACTGTGGTTTCCTATAGGAAGCACCTATTGCAAATATTTCCCTATGAGGACATCTATGCGTAGGCATATATGTTGGAATAACTTGTACCTACTACATAGTTTTATTGAGGTTTGACTACCGCTGAGCTTCGGTTTGAAACCCTAATGTAAATTTAAATGTGTAAGTAAAGGTAAGGTATCCTTATATTTTGCAACAAAACGTTTGTATATTGGCGGCAGTAGCTTACTTCTCACCACCAAGTGGAAGACACATTTATTACTTCTATATTATTACTGTGCATAGCGAATATATGAGAATATATATCGTCACTGGAAAGGAGAAAATGCTAAAGCGCCATTTGGGCCAAAATGAGTTAATTATATTGTTGGATTGTTTTTCCGCGTCGATCTGTGTAGGTTTCAAGTGAATCAGAGCAAGTTTTTGGCGTTTTAGCATTTGTAAAAATTGAGGGATGTTCCGAATTCCAAGATCTAAAGCGACGATTTTCCCTTGTTTTTGAAATAGACGTAGCTTTAGAAACACATTTTCAGTAAAGAGATCCGTTAGAACGTTATTCCTTACTACATTCTCTTCACAATAGCAACATAAGTAATTTTTCTTTTCTTAATTTGAATGACATTGTTACATTAGCAATATTAAATTTTAGAATTGTATTATTTCATATTCTGTTAGCTATTATTCATTACTGTTGTTTTTAACTGTTTGGTGTTTAAGAAAAACTGTTAGCATTAGATTTAAGTATGGTTGGCGCTGTAGCAATTTTTGCTAAATATATTTTTTTAAATTTCATTCTGTTAGAGAAAATAAAGTTGTGACAATTAAGTAATAACATTTCTATTAGAATAAGGAAGGCATTTTCCTAAAGGTATGAATCGTTTTAGCGATATGCTATGTTTTAAACTGATGACCACTGTAGTACGTTAGTACTATTATCTATTGGAGACTGTAGTGTAAATATCGGTTAGGCACATAATATTTATAATATGCGTGTGATTGTAAGCACACTTAGCGCACTCGCGTCCTGTTGGAACACATCGTTTCTCGATTCGCGCGCGCCCGCTGGTTGTAGGTAATCACCTAACTTCAGTAGTATTAGTTAGTCTAGGCTAGTGACGGTGTTCGCAAAGAAATTTATAGGTATTGTTTACGTTTATTGTGACGTGTAAGTAAGTGCGTTAAGTGTTATTGTTGGGATATTGATTTTGGAATATAAAAAGGTATGTTTATACTTTTTTTTGTATTATTGTAGTGTTAAGCAAAAGTATTGTACAGTTAAGATTGTTTGGTTATGTTTGGTTAGTGATGAGTAGTTTTGAAATAATTGGTGCCTAAGTTATAGATTAACCAAAATATTTAATTGAGACTGTTCACATGAATAAGGTATAACAAGAATAAGGAACAGGAACAGTAGAAAACGAGGACAACCAGACAATACTGATTTTGTAACAAAGCTACTGCGAGCAAATACAGCGGATTATAAAGCTATACAGGGTAATACTTCATGTCTGTCTCAGCAGAAAACACCTCGACTCATAAACTCATATTGTTGACAAGGAAATGCCTGGAAATAGTAAAGGAAAACTTGAAAGGAGGAAGGTCAAACCTGGATTTATAGAAGAGAAACCTGAAAAAAAATAAAAGATTAAATTTCAAATATGTTGACTTCATTTCTGACGAAGAAGAATTTACACTGACTTCTTCTTCATGGGAAGGATCAGACGATACGGAGTCAGATATATCCAATAATGATAGAAGAGAGAAAAAACAGAAGAAAAATAAAAACAGTAAAAGACAAGGCAAGGAGTCAAAAAAAACGTAGCAGAAAAATAAACAAGAAGAAAACTGACCACTTAGCTTCGAACAAAGATGAATCTGACTCAGAGCAACAGAAAAGGACTGAAGAAAACAATAGAGAAAATGAATCTTATGCAGATTTAAGAAAAAGAACCAAACGAATTAATAAAAATAAAGAAAGATCAAATTTAAGGAAAGCTGGAAGAGTATGTCTCAAAAACTGGAAGAGTAGTTGAGGCAAAATCTAAGTAATATGTATGTATAATAAGTAAACTGTATTAATAAATGTTACGATATATCTAAAAAAAGTATTTTTGATCATTATTGGTCATTAAGTGCGGAAAGAAAGCATGACTGGATTGTAAGTCATGCTAAAAAGGAAATTATGAAACGAAGAAGAACCAAAGATATAGAGAGCCGAAGGCAATTTACATATACATATTTCATTAACCAAGGAGAAGGCCAAAGACCTGTTTGTTTGAGATTCCTTATAAATACCTTAAATATTGGTCAAAGATTTCTACATCAAGTTATCAGTTCTTCAGTTGAAGGGTGTTCTAAAACAGACAACAGAGGCAGAGGAGTTCCTGCAAACAAAACGCCCCCCGGCTTTGTTGCAATCCGTGAGAGACTATATTAATGATTTACCAGCAGTTCCCTCACACTACTGCAGGAAAAACTCAAAAAAATGTTATTTGCCGCAAGAATATAGAAGCCTTTCCAATTTATACAAAATTTATAAACAAAAGAACATGAATGAAGTTTTTAAAAACATATTTTAGACAGAATTTAACATTTCTTTCCATGTACCCCGAAAAGACAAATGTGTAAAATGTACTAAATACGAAAATAGCCCCGGAGAATATCAGAAAGAAAAAGAGAAACATATGTCAGATAAAGAAGAAACATATTCGAGATTTCAAACACATCAAGACCTTCGCAAACACGATAGTAGTATACTCTGTACTACGTTCGATCTCCAAAAGGTGCTGAATACTCCATATGGAGACAGCATGTTATTTATTACAGCAGAAAGATCGCTACATATAATTTGACATTTTACGAGTCCGTCACACGAGAAGGGTTCTGTTTCTTGTGGAATGAAGTCGAAGGCAAACGTGGTGCGAATGAAATTTGTACCATTCTAATTAAATACATTGAAAAGTTGGACGAACGTGGGTCTATAAAACATTTACTTTTATATTGCGATTCCTGCCCAGGGCAAAATAAAAATAAAATTGTTCTGGCCTGCATCCATAAATCTTTGCAAAAATGCAAGAATATATTAACCATTCAAATGAATTACCTTCTACCGGGACACACATATATGCCTGTGGATTCCATGCACTCGATCATTGAGAAAATTGTGACAAACAACATTGTATGGGCACCGTCTCAGTGGCCAACCATATGGGCTCTAGCAAGAAAAGTTCTAACATTCTAAGAGATTTTCAGTTTAGTCCATTCAAGACATTGAGTTAGATTTTATATTGACAAATTCTTACCGCACATCAATTACTTAGTATCTACATAATTTAGTAAAATTTTCACATAATGAGCCTATTAAGCAATTATTTCGAACAAATTCTTAAAACCCATCCGTAGATAAGTAGTATAATCTAGTAAAGTAAC